AACATGGTTGTTTTGCCTAAACTGAGTTCTATCCCTCACTGTGTGAATTTCACCACCTTTCTTATCATGTTTTTCAACTTTAGTCTCCATCTTCTTATATCTAAGTGAGTCAATGACAATTTCAAGTATCAAAGTGTCTCTACTGTACTTAATCGCATTCTAAACTTTCTTATAAGTATCAGCTATGGAATTAAGCAAAATTATAGCCTCATACGTTTTAGACACTAACTCTTCACCGTTAACAATATCTTGAACAAGTTTATTAAACATATCTTAATTTTTATCAAAGTCTTTTGAATGATCCATTTTAAAATTGAAAAAATGCTCAAATAAGTAAAATTTGTTCGGGGTAGATTTAAACATATACAAGTTATCTAATTTTTTCCAAAATTCTTTAATGGTTTTTAGTTTACCCACTTTTCTAATTTCTCAAATCTTCCTACCGATATTAAATTCTTAGACAGTTTAGGAATGTATCACATCTTTTAAATTATACACAAAACCAGTGTCAAATTTCAAATTAATATCACCAATCTCAACAACAATATAAGTAGAATTGTCACATTGCACAACATGCCCATCATTTGATTCATGCAAGTTTTCAAACCAGTCTTTTTGTAATGTCACGGGAAAAGATACACCAGAATCAAATATCCACTCATGCAAACGAGAATTGACAATTAGATTGAATTCAGGAGTTCACCATTATCAACATTGGAAGTAGAAGACAACATATTTACTTCATCTCTTGCTCTCTCTTTACCTTTTAGCCTACCCTTTTCTTTATAACAATCTTTTATAAAATATTTCGTATTCCCACAGCCATAGCATTTTCTAACCTTGGTCCTAGATTTTAATCTAGACCTACCATTGCCCTTTTTAACCTCTATTACTACTTGACTTGCCACCACTTTGGAAACCAATATGGTTGTTTTGCCTAAACTGAGTTCTATCCCTCACTCTGTGAATTTCACCACCTTTCTTATCATGTTTTTCAACTTTAGTCTCCATCTTCTTATATCTAAGTGAGTCAATGACAATTTCAAGTATCAAAGTGTCTCTACCGTACTTAATCGCATTCTAAACTTTCTTATAAGTATCAGCTATGGAATTAAGCAAAATTATAGCCTCATAGGTTTTAGACACTAACTCTTCACCGTTAACAATATCTTGAACAAGTTTATTAAACATATTTTAATTTTTATCAAAGTCTTTTGAATGATCCATTTTAAAATTGAAAAAATGCTCAAATAAGTAAAATTTGTTCGGGGTAGATTTAAACATATACAACTTATCTAATTTTTTCCAAAATTCTTTAGTGGTTTTTAGTTTACCCACTTTTCTTCACACAGCGTCAGCCAAGTGTAAAATAATAGAGGTGTAAGCAAGCTCATCAGCCTCTTCTTTTTATCGGATAAGTGTAAAATAATTGAAGTATAAGCAACTCATCGACTTCTTCTTTCCGTTCTTTTGAAAAATCAGCAAAAAAATTGTCCTCAATAGCTTTTTAAACTTTTTGTTGGACCAAAATACCTCTCATCTTTTGTTGCCATATTGAAAAATCACATTTTCCTTTAAAAATTCCCAAATCAAAATTGTGAATTGTCATTTTTTTACGAATCAATAAAAAATGCACAGAATCACAATAAGTCACACAAAGTAATCCTAGGATCTCAGACGATATACACCGTTCTAGTCTATGGTTTCGTAAGATATGCAATCTTAGATCAAGAGAATGCTCAAATGGGTACGGTTTAGGTATTCTAATGGAATAAATGTTGCAACAAAGAGATGAGTCAATCCAAGAAACAAATTCACACACAGTATATCACAAAGATAATAAGTTGATTTTATCAAATGAATAATCCAATCACATAATAATTAAAGGCAATCAGTTCTTAATTTCTATCACAGAAATGGTTACCACACACGGTAGCCCCAATCATATCATCACTCCACACGATGACGCACTAGTGCTGAAAATTAAATGAAATAAGCCAATTTACCATAGCGGACCACGTTTGAAGATCCGTAAAATCAAGATAAATCAAGATAAGCGAATTTGCTACTTTAAGGCCACCACTATTCGCCTTAAAGTTTCAGCAAATATACCATCGCGATTGACCAATGATTGCAGGCTGAGTGTCCAGGGACAAAATCGTCCAAAATTTTTCGCATAACCTGAAACATGAAATTAACAATATCAGTACATTAATAATATTAATACGAGCAACCTGTTTGAAAAAAGCTCCTCCAGAATTGCCGCCACGAGCCGTCGTCTTCACGCCCTGCATAGGAAAGAGCGCATCTGCCTGCTGAGCATGGATATGGCCTCTGTTTCTCTAGCTGGTGTCTGGTTTGGTCCAAATCGACAGTTGCAGGTTCAGCCCCTTCGAAAAATAAGCGATCGGGTCCCCTTTTTGGTTGATTTTTGGTAGGAAAAAGTCACCCACCAAGCTCTGATACCAGGTGTAAAGTGGAAGACTATATCATCAAGGCAATTTCTGAGCTTAGTTCATCGAATCAACCAACACCTCAATGAAGATATCAAAACAAAACCCCTCAACTCTTCCACACTTACAATTACTTCTTATTACCTGTATAGGATGCACAAAGGAAGGTGTAATCACGGTATGAAATCAGCCACAAAGGCAGGAAGAAGAAGGAAACAGTGGACGCAGTCACAGAGTAAAAAAATTTGCAAGATTCGGTCAAATGAAGATATTAATGTTGAAAAAGTTAGTGAAGTTGAAAGAATCAATGGATTGCGTGAAGCTATTTCTGATATCTACGCTATAGAAATGCAATGGATGTCGATCACCTTTTAAACTATCATAGTGAAAATGACGCGGTGATGGAATCTCCTATGATTAATATAATATTCAAGGGGTACTCAATGCATCTAACAATGATGATCATGATCTAGATGATAGTTGTATTTTACCAACTATTTTTTCAAAAGTGGTATTTCAAATAGTCGTAACATTAAATAATTACTTTGTACAAAATGGAAAAAAAATATGCCAAATGTATTATGTGCATTGCAAAAAACTAGGAACGAAGTTGAATTTGGTTTGGGTACAAAGAAAAAGACATATAGATGTATATTTTGAAAATTAGGCGAATTGAAAAAAATGTTGCCAAATTAAAAGTTTGTTAATTTGTATTAGTATGAAGTTTTATGAATTTAAGCAATTGCTATTTTTATATATCTGTTGGGCTTTAAAGGATTTTAAAAAAAATTATTATCTTATGTATTTAACTGTGCTTATTTAAGCGATATTATTAATTTATCGAACATCTATTTATCGTGATTTTACTGTACATAGCTTTGAGTTATGACTATGGCAAATATAACGTTCGTTTGACCCCTATTATTCCAAATTATAATGAGAGTAATAGTAATTTTTTTAAGAATGTACGACTAAAAAAGAAGGGAAAACTTTTGAATTTATGTGTAATATTATTTTATTAAAAAATGTAGTGTTGATAAGAAAATAGTAAAAAATAAATTATAATTTAATGAAAAATAATGTGGCCAGATGGGGGGCATAACTTGTACAAGAAATTAGAAATATAGGATTGTAACTATCTCTAATTGTGTATCCTTCAAAAAATTGACTAAACTCTTGTTTTATTCCTACTTTTTCAAAATTTATTTTCAGCTATATATTCATATAATAAAATATTCTGCACATTAATCCAAATTTTTTCTACTTTTTAACTATAATTCTCCAAAAAATTACTATTCCAAAATTGACAATGTTACACTTAAAGAATTGGTTCAAAGATAATACTTAGCTCCTGTTTGGAACACATTCTCATTCTCTTTTTTCATTTCAACCACACAATCTCCAAATAAAATAATATTACACACAAATCTAAAATTTTTCATCACTTTTTCACCACACATTCTCCCATCAATCACTATTTCAAAATTTTTCAACCCATTAAAATGAGTGTCAAACACCCCCTTATTAAAAATTCATTGGAAGTTGGGGAAAAAATAATCAATTGTGCTATGTGTACACAAGTAAAAGAGTGTGCACCACAAGGTGCACACATAGCATTATCCAAAGAACTATGCTACTTGTAAAATGAATTTGACAATAAGTTTGACAATGTGTGAGTTGGCAAGCGTTATGTTTATTGATTTGAAAGATTGTTTTTGAATTTAATGGCAATGATTTATACACCTCACACATTGTCAAAATCATTGTGAAAATTCATTGTACAAGTAGTTTAATTCTTCTTGTTATTTCAATTCTCATTTGCTCATTTGCTTTAATCATTTATGATAAATTTAGTCCATGTTTGGCCAATTCTCTTTCTTTATTTCAACCACACAATCTCCAAATAAAATAATATTACACACAAATCTAAACATATTCATCACTTTTCCACTACACATTCTCCCATCAATCACTATTTCAAAATTTTTCAACCCATTAAAATGAGTGTCAAACACCCTCTTATTAAAAATTCATTGGAAGTTGGGAAAAAATAATCAATTGTGCTATGTGTACACATGTAAAAGAGTGTGCACCTTGTGGTGCACACATAGCATTATCCAAAGAACTATGTTACTTGTAAAATGAATTTGACAATAAGTTTGACAATGTGTGAGTTGGCAAGCGTTATGTTTATTGATTTGAAAGATTGTTTTTGAATTTAATGACAATGATTTATATACCTCACACATTATCAAAATTATTGTGCAAATTCATTGTAAAAGTAGTTTAATTCTTATCCAAAAATAAAATAGTTTAAACAAAAATTCTGTACACGTGGCCTTTTTCTTCCAGTATTTTTTAACCCCGTGAAATGGGCTCAAACAAGGACTGCATCAATAACTTTGGCAGTAGCTGTTTTGGTTTGTTGCCAACCACATACATTTGTACGTTCATCTCTTCAACTCCATCCACAAACAAATAATTTTCATTCAATTATCGTTTCCATATATTTTCTGCAAATTATGATTCCCAAATAAACTGCCAGCCATGGAAGCTCTGGGAGGTTCCTCATTTCCGTCATTCACCCAACCACTAATCTCAACAACCGTATTTGAAAAACCCATTTTTCAGATTCCTTTAACTCAGAAATTAACTTCACATGTCCCTGTAGTTCTAAGCAAGAAAGGAAATTTAAAGAGTTTTACAGCCATTTCTCCAACTGTCCTATCTACTGAGGAATCTGAAAATTCTTCATCCCCTGATCAAGAAACTGAAGCAGAAATTGAAGAAGAGAAATTTGATTGGTTTGCACAATGGTACCCAGTGACGCCAATTTGTGATCTTGACAAAAGAAGACCTCACGGGAAGAGAGTATTGGGAATTGACATAGTGATTTGGTGGGATAGAAATGAGAATGAATGGAAAGTGTTTGACGATAGTTGTCCTCACAGATTGGCTCCTCTGTCCGAAGGAAGGATTGATCAATGGGGTAGGCTGCAGTGTGTGTACCATGGATGGTGCTTTGGTGGTTCTGGTGATTGCAAGTTCATCCCTCAAGCACCCCGGGACGGCCCTCCGGTGAACAATAATCTCTTAATGATCAAAAAGCATAAATTTACTGAATTATGTTGTCTTAATTTCTGCTAGAACATTTAAGTTTTGATGCACTCTATGAATTGCTGCTGCTAACTACGTGGGCTATTATTTGGTGTTTCTCAACACAGCTTTAGAACTATTTTTCCTTTTCTTTTCTTTAGCAGAAAGTGAAGGTATTTTTGTTATTAGTAACTACAAGTAAGATATTTGTTCAATCACAAAATGAAGTGTTCTCATAATAAAAAGGAAAATAACAGCAACAAAAAAAATATATTCCCAAGAGTAACAAATAATTTTTCTATTGTGATACACATAGCCGTCAGCATGTGCTTTAACAAGAAATAGGTGCTAAAAATTAGTACTATTTAAGGATAACATTCAGACTATTTCTGCACTTCGCACATATGCCTATTATCATAACTAGTTTAGTGTTGGAAATGGATGTTCATATAAGCAACTGCAGTTAGAAAAAGACAGGATAAAATAAGAGTAAGGCTATCTATAGCACCACTGGTGTAGGTGGCAACATATGTGATATTAGGCTCATGTTTGTCTTCCATTCTTTCAAAACTCTTTTTCCTACGTACTCATTTTCAACCACACATTCACACAATAACATATTCTATGCATAAACCGAAAAAACTTTTCCCTACTTTTAAACTACACAATTCTCCAAAAATTCACCATTCAAAGCAATATTTTTCCAAAAAAAAAAAAAGAAGTCACAAAACAGGGGCTAAATGATAGATTCATTTAAATGCAAGGAGGTATGGTCCATTTAAATGGATTTATTATATGTTGCCATCTAAACTGGTGCTCTAACACCAATGAGGCTGGATAGTATTATTCAAAATAAAATGCTTCTTTTGAGAAAATCATTCACTATTTTTTTAGTAGAGATTCCTGACAGAGAAAAGTAAAGGTCATGCAACGCTTGGATCCATATTCTTGCATAGCAATGTACACTTTGTGCCAATGAGCTTTGTGGTTTTATCCCTGTATGATGCCTCACGAGCCTGGGCCACATGAATAATTCACGATTATGTCTTACGTATACCTAATATGGGATCCAATGTAATGTAATCTGATCAAGAAGGAAATATGATCCAAAAGAAGGATTGGTTTGCGTTGCTAACCTTCATATGCATTACTGTTAGCTGAAAGGAAATGGAAATATGTTATCGAAATGTACAGAGCCCCTTTATAAAAAGGAAATAGACGGAATAGTATAACAATGCAATGGTAACTCTTCATAGACATAGGAAAAAGTCTTGTGTTGTATAGAATTGGCTTTATAATAAGTTAATGGGCCTTTTCTGATTGTACAGAATGTCGTGAGCATTTGAACTGCCTTACAGAGAAGCTAAAAAAAATTCTTAACAGAACAAATGTACCTTGCTCTGTGCGTGTGCATGTGTGCATACTAGTGCTTGCGTCCTGGCTTTAGACTATAGACCACATCATTTAAATTAAGAGATAGATTAGTTCTGCAGGTTCACACTTCCTCGAAGGCATGTGTAGCTGTGTATCCAAGTTGTGTACTAAATAATATTCTTTGGTTTTGGGCAAGCTCTGATCCGCTATATAGAGATGTTCTATCAAAGAAAAAGCCTCCATACATCCCAGAACTTGATGACCCTTCATTCTCCAATACGATGATATGCAGAGATTTACCTTATGGGTACGCTGTTCTTTTCTTTTCTTTTTGGTACTGAATTTTTTTACATCATATTTTAAACGACTCTGCATGGATTCAAAATAAAATGTATTCCATTTGACTGTGATAAACTTCACACTGGCTCTAGCTATTCTTGTTCATCAATTAAGGGGGAAAAAAGACAAATCTTGCATTCCCCTGTGCTTCCCCACAAGAAAAAGAAATAAAGTCTAAGAAGCACAAAAATGGAATTGCAGTTAAGCAAGAGATGACAAGGACTTCTGGCAAAAAATTAGATGAAATTCAATTGTGATGGCTCGGTGGGTGGCCAGAAAAGTCGATACCTAATTCATTTACTTTTATCTGATGAATGTTCCTACAACTGACTGTGAAGTCAAATGGTCCATATAAAATTTGGGGACCTGCCTTTTGTTATTCTTGACAGTTGCATTGGCATTTTCAGGTATGAAGTTCTGATTGAAAATCTTATGGACCCTGCTCATGTCCCATACGCACATTATGGAATAATGAGAATCCCAGACACGCCAAAGAGATGAGTATATCTGTGCATGACTTCACTGCTGACATGTTTGTTTTTTGAATTTCACATGGCTAACACTAAGGGTACTGCACTCTGAAGGCTGATAGGGAAGGCGGCAAACCACTTGAAATGACCATAGAGAAACTAGACATAAACGGGTTCACCTCGAAGCAATTACTTGTGAACAGCTATTTTATTCCACCATGCATGTTCTATGGTGCTTTCAGTTCAGGAGGGGGTCCAAGTAAGAAGTCCCCATTATCTGCTGGAACCACAGAGGTAATAAATTGGATATTTTCACAGTATTGAATTTTGATTGCTTAATAACTTGTGTCTATAATTTCTCTGCATTTCTTTCGTAAAATGTATTTTCCTTCACGCAGGAGCCACCATCATCCGTACCCATGAAAAAAATGTTTCTGATTTTCTACTGTATTCCAGTCAGTCCGGGTAATAGCAGGTTGATACTTGCCACTTCGAGAAACTTTGGGGCCTGGATGCAGCGATTTGTTCCACGTTGGCTCTTTCATATCAGGCAAAACTTAGTTTTAGATTCGGATCTATATCTTCTTCATATGGAGGTTAACTTTGACTCTTTTTCTTGTTGCTGATTACTTTTAATTCTAATAGTTAGTTAATCTTCGTCTATTTTCCAATTTGGCTGCAATACACTGGACAACAAATATCTGCTGAAAGTGCTGGGATCCTAACCGTATGAAGACATTTATTATATTATTTGACAGTTAAGAATTGAAGATAAGACACCTATTTAGATGAACAAATACAGCATTATTCTTTTTGTAACTCTGTATTCTATTAAAGTTAGTTGAAAATGTGAAGAATAAAGAAGGAAACCAGCAAATGCGTCATTAACCAAAATAAGTTTACTGATAGAACATTGAGTGTCACGGATGTCATATAAACAGAGAGAGAACAACATGAAATGCCTGTTTGATCCTCCTCATGAGAATCCATCCCTTGACCTATGAGTATAGTAATTCAATTTTATCTTTTCTAAGAGTCCTTATATTTGAGAAGGCTTCTCATATATAGTATCACTGTATATTTTCTATTCGATAAATTCTTTAGATTGCAATTTCAATTGTAATGTAAGATACAATAATATAATTCTTTGTAAAGATGTACATCAAATGTCCTTATTCATTTATTCTTTCTGTAGGATCGCAAGACAATGGATGTTGGCCCTCTTAATTGGCATAAATCTGGCTTTGTGCCAACTAAGGCAGATGCTAATGTGATTGCCTTCAGAAGGTGGTTAAACAAGTATGGAGGCACTCAAGTTGACTGGGGAACAAGGTTTAGCAGATTACTCCCACCAACTCCTCCTAGAGATCAGCTATTTGATAGGTAATCCTTAAACCATGTCGTGTACTATTGAAACCATTGTTGTATTTTATAGAACCTAATTATAGTCGTCGATAGGGATGGACTGGACTGGACATTTGTATCTCAATATTAGTTCACCATAGTTTCCTACACTATATAAAGTAATATGAGTGGGTTGTTTTTGTAGAAGATGGGACACAGGTGTGAGAAAGAAAAGGATTATAATGGTTGTACAGGGCCACATGGGCCCTGTACATGTAGCATGATTGGAAAGAAAATGAACCATGTGAAAAATCTGCAGCAACAAGTGGATGAGTTCTCACACTAAGAAATGAACCACTATAAATCTCTGTGTTTCTGTCTGCATTCCTGTTTCTCGTTTTATTCATAACTGCTTTCGAAATTGGGAACCACGGCACGTGAATCTAGATTGCTAACAAGACTCGAGAGAAGTGTGTTTTTCTTCTCAAAGATTCATCTTTGATTTTAATGGAAGGGATTGCATTTTCACATTACGCGCTTTTTGCTATCTTTTCAGGTATTGGTCCCATACAGTGAATTGCAGTAGTTGCTATCTTGCATATAAACGTCTCAACGCACTTGAGGTCGCGCTGCAGGTCATCTGCATTGTTTCAATTGGAATAGTTGCTGCAGGCAAGCATGGTATTATGTCTGTGGCTGCGAGGAACACCCTGGCATCCATGGCTGTACTATGCTTTGTGGCTTCGAAATGGTTGTCTCACTTTATCTACAGAACTTTTAAGTACCATGATTACGATCATGCCTTCCGCTGAGACTGCCTGTATCAAACAATGTTATAAATTTGTGATTGATATAATGATCATGTGACATTTACAGCTTTGTGTATATATAAAGTTAGAAACGTGGAATAGCTGAGGGGTTGTTCTCTTTGTGTTTCGGTTTTGAGTTTTGAATTCATTTTGTTTTTTCTATTTTGAGTGTCCGTTTTGAAGTTGCTGAAAATGCGTTCTTTTTTTCATCCTGAAAAATTGTTTCTCAAAACATAAAAATTGAAACGTGTTTACTATGAAATTTTGAGAATATTTTTTTTATAATACTTTATTCAAGAAATGTGATTATTCAATAAGTTTTAATAATTTAATCATTAATGTTAATATAGTATTAAATAAAATATAAATTTTGAAGTTAATCAAGTTGCAAAAAAGGGAGCACTAATCTCATGTTGACATGGTAATAAATATTTTGAAACCAATCTTATCGAAGTCAGGTATCCAAATTGATGACATTTGGTGTCTTATTTATTCGTGCATGTTTGGTACTTAATATTGGAAAAAAAATAGACAATATTATTAGCAATATTTTAGGTCATTTTTCTTCCTTAATACTTCATATACTGTATTATTCTCGTACTACTAATATCCTTTCTAATGATTCGAAAAATATCTAAAGCTCATTTAATTAACTTTTACTGGATGAATGGTCATCTTTCTTCACAGGAACAGGTATTAACTGATGAGATTCAAGGACTAAATCTAAAGCCCTGTTTGATGGGCACTTAATTCCTTGGAAGTTGGAATTTAAATTCAATTTGACATCAAATGTGCTGTTTGATGGCCACAAAATTGAAGGGGATTCATTTTCCCACTATGAGGCTCACGCGCTTGAATTGACAGAAACTTTGGAATTCATTTTCCCACCTTTTTTGTGGGAAAATGAATTCCATCTTTGCTGCCTTTATTTTTTTCTTTATTTTTTTATTTTTTTGTTTTTATTTTTGCAATGGAAACAAATTTCATAATCAAGTGTAAAAAAAAATTTCACTTTCACGGACAATTTTGATGCAAACGAAGGCCAAGCGAACACTAAATTTTGATAAAAAAATGATCTTTTATGAAACATTTTGTTTTTTTGGTTTTTTTAAAACTTTTTGGCAATGAAAATAAATTTTATAACCAAGTGTAGAAAATTTTTTCATTTTAATGGACAATTTTGATACAAACGAAGGCAAAACGAACACAAAATTTAAAAATTTTTCAGGTGAAAAATTATACCAATCAAACACACTTAATCAACAATTCCCTGGAAAACAATTTCTTTGTAATTATTTTCCCTGTAATTCATTTTCTTTCCACCCATTTTCTACCTTTGCAATCAAACGAACCCTAAAGGTATGACTGAAGAACCGCATGACCAATTTTCTGAGAAAAAAGAGATGAACTTTTCTATTACAAATGCTCCATGGATATATTCACAGGGAAATCTCATTCATCAAGAGAATATTGAACTCTATAAGAAGGTAATTCTTTTAACATAAGAAGGAAAAAAAGAGATGAACTTTTGCAGCCTCTATCTCTTGAAAATCCTCCACCATGGTCAACCATGGTGCTCTCAACCACTACATGAACCCCCTTGAACAACTTGTTACAATATCAAGAGCTCGTCCTTCCATATTGAAGACTGCATTGAACGTAGTCTACACCTTGCTTGTGTGAGTTAGATTTTGCTCTTTGAGGAACAAGCTTTCCTATAAATGAACAATTTTTAGTCAGACCTCACAAGAATTACAATTGAATATAGCAAAAATTAATAAATGCCAAAATCAACTAATTAACAGTAGAACAATAGCATCTATATGAACTAATGCCAAAATCAGGTAAATACAATGCAATGGAACTTGAATTTTAACCATTAACCAAGTAATTACAATACAAAATCAGCAAGTATATTAGTTTCAAGCACAAAACAACAGACATGGAATGAACACCACACAAACCATGAGTAGAACTCCTAAAGTAGAAATCTTGGAATACTCTGGTTGAGATAGAAGGAAGAAAAAGAACTCATATTCTGGATTTGAAAAACTAGAAAGTGAAACAAAGAATCGAAATAATTGGCAGAATATTCAAACTGAATGACGAGTCAAATAATTTATAACCAATATTGAAACCTCATTTTTCTCAACACTTGAAAATTTTCTATTTTTAAGATTAAGTAGCACCTAACAAAAACAAAATCTCATGAAATCTAGACAAATTAGACAATCAAAGACTTTGTTTCTCAATCCATTTTTATTAATCACGGTCCACATTGTATTTCACCGCAGAAAATAATAAGTAAAATTCAACCCAGCCTACACACTTCAACCCATATGCATAACAATACAGTTAAACCAGAAAAAATACACAATCGTTTTTCAATCAATTTTTATCAATCACGACCCACATTACATTTTACCCGTGAATTCGTCAAGGTCTGCTTGAAATTGGGCTTGACCCATGGTTTGGGAAGATGCACCAGGGGGGAGAAGAGACCAACCCATGTGGTCTGCGACCATGGGTCGATCGGACGACGCCAGAAATTGAAAAGTTTGGACGCTGTGTCGAAGGGTGCGCTACTGGAGTTTCTTGAGTTTAATTCAGGATGTTGAAGTGTTGTTTGGAGTAAATTGATTCCATGTATGGAGCCATCTGAGGATGGGCAATTGACCGGTGGTAATGAGCGACCTTGGCCGTCACCGGAGATGGAATTTCCGAAAGAAACAATTTGCGCCAGATTGGTTATTTGGACTAAAATTTCTGCTAAATATAATTTTTTTTTGGTTGATTGTTGGTTGGAATTTGTAGAAGGCAGTGACGTGATGGTGGTCGTTTCTGGTGGGTGTGGTGACCGGAAGGTGGATGAGTGAGTCTCCATAGATAGCGGCTCAGCAAGGAGAAAACATGGGTCATGCTTTCATTTCCGCGTTTTGGCTTTTTTTGCTTGAGTTTCCGGTTCAAATTTTGTTTTTTTGTTTTCAAAAATTCATTTTCGAAAATAAAAAAGAAAACGTGTTTTCACTGTTTTAAAAAATCGAAAATAAAAAATGGCACGAAAACAACAAAGAGAACGACCCCCAAGTTTTTGCCTTTGTTTTCTGATTAGGTACAAATGAATGAAGTACAAAACATTACGGGCATTTTAAAGTTGTTTATAAACGAGTATGCTAATGAGTTATATCCAAATTTTACATCACTGGCAAGTAGCCCGTCGAGAAGTAGGAAAGATAGGACCGACATTTGTTTAACAAACTATATTTGACAAAAAAATAATAATAATATTTACAGTCGTGAAAATAGCAACTATGTCATCATCTCTGATAAAAGAAGTGAACTAATTGTCATCTTTCAAGGGCATTAATCCAGCAGTACATAAATGTTTTTGGTTTGTTGCTAGCCAAATACATTTATGTATTCGTCTCTTGAGTTAATTAAATCACTGCCTACTAAACTTACCAATGGTTACTACTTGCTCACTGAAATATAAAAAGTTACTCAATGCTCACTGAACTATTCATTATTTTACCCATCAGTCACTCAAGCCAATTCCGTCTATACAGATGGACAAAAATGTTGACGTGGCGGATGGAAAAATGACGTGGCAATACACATCATTTAACCATTAAAAAAAAACCGGGAATTTTGAATTAAAAAGAGATGAACGTACAGTAACTCCCTTCAAACTCGACAATTCCTCTCCTCTCCACCGACCGAAATCAAAATCCATGTCCATGAAGCTTGAAAATCGCATTCCTCACCAATTGATCCTCCCCCAACTTCCATTCTTCCCCAGTTTCAATCCTTGGTAACTTCAATCATCATCTTCAAGAATACTTAAATTTTACCCCCAAATCCATCGCGAACCCTAGATTTTTTTTTTCTGACTTCAAATTGTAAGGAACATGGGGGACCCAAGACATACAGAAATCGAGAAAAATACAGTGGAAGAATCTCTTTTGCAGTCCATGGAGGAGGGACCACAAGGTAAATTATCATTGATTTTACATTATGTATGTCGGAGACATGTCTTGAGGTTGTCGAGCGAGCTGAGTTCATTTATTCACTTCCAACATGTGATTGTTGCAATTTTTTTTTTTTTTTGATACAGTTCAAGAAGAGGAAGAGATACCGATTGAATGTCAGTTCGTTAGTTCAGATAATGACGTTGACAATGATGATTTCCACTATGAAAAGAATGCATCCAATCATATTGAGATTGGATTACATGCAGACCCTGCAAGTGAAATTGAGGTTGGAGGTGAAGAAGAGAAAAGTTCTGATGAGTTAGATTGCCCAAGTGAGGAGGAGCTGCATACTGATTATTCTTCTAGTGAAGAAAACATTTGTCACTTTCCTGTTTATGATCCCGAGAAGGAGAAGTTGAACCCACAACTTGAGGTTGGAAAGGAATTTAAAAACATTGAGGAGTTTAGGCAAGCTGTGAGGAATCATGGGATTGCTACTAGATGTAATTTGAGATTTAGACCGAACGATGAGTTTAGAGCACAGGCCATATGTAAGTTAGGGTGCAAGTGGAAAATATGGGCTTCATGGAATAAAAAGAAAGGTTGTGTGCAGATAAAGTCAGCAAATTTAGAGCATACATGTGTAAGGGACAGAACAAATAGGCATTGCACTGCAAGGTATATAGCAGATAGGTATTTAGACACTTTCAAAATTGACCCTGATTGGAAGTCTAAACTTATTATGAAGGCTGTAAAAGATGATTTGAAGTTGACAATTAATAAAGTTACAACATGGAGGGCTAGAAGATATGCTAGGTTATTGATACATGGATCTGATGAGCATCAATTTGGTATGCTTAGGTCTTTTGCAGCTGAGATTTTGAGATCCAATCCTGGGTCTACATGCATAGTTGCCATACATGAACTAAAGTTTCAAGGTGTATATTTATGTTTAGAAGCTTGTAAAAGAGGCTTTTTGTCAGGTTGTAGGCAACTTTTGGGATTAGATGGTTGTTTCTTGAAGGGAACATTTGGAGGTCAAATGCTTGTAGCTGTGGCATTAGATGCCAATGATTGCATTTACCCAGTAGCGTATGCAATAGTACAGGGTGAGAATGCTACTACTTGGAGGTGGTTTTTACAACACCTTGGCGAAGATTTAAAAATCTTGAATAGTAAGGATTGGACCTTTATGACAGATAGACAAAAGGGACTACAGAATGTTATAGATGATTTGTATCCCGAGGCTGAACATCGTTTTTGTGTCAGGCACATGTACAGTAATTTCTTCAGGGCTGAATTTAAGAGTTTGACTCTGAAAGACTACTTATGGAGGGCTGCTAGGTCGACGACTGTGGCGGATTGGAATTTCTGGATGGGTGAGATTGAGAAGGAGAGCAAAGCAACACATTCTTGGTTAAAGAAAAGGCACCCAAGTGAATGGAGTAAGGCTTACTTTATGACAAAGGTGAAGAGTGACATACTTTTGAACAACCTATGCGAAGTTTTCAATAATGTGGTGTTGGAAGAAAGGGAAAAATCCATATTGACAATGTTAATTGACTTGCACTTGAGTTTCATGAAGAGGATACAAGCAAGGAGGGACAAGATGAGAAAGGTTAACGGACCTTTATGTCCTAAAGTCCAACAGAAGCTTCTGAAGAGTTACGAGTTAGCAAATGGATGTGAGGTGGATTGGTCGGGCGGGGCACAATCTTATGTGAAATGTCCAAGTGGAGAATTTGTTGTCGATCTACATAGTAAGATGTGTGCTTGTAGGAGATGGGATTTGTCAGGGATTCCATGTGCTCATGCCATTGCTGCAATTCCAGATAGACGGGAGGAGCCTTGGAGGTACGTGCATGAGTGCTATAAAGTGAGCACGTATCTCAGTTGTTATGAGAATATCATCAATCCCATCAATGGAATGAAGTTATGGCCTTCGGTTGATGCCCTTCCAGTCAAACCACCAAATTGGGTTGTGTCTAAACGGGGAAGAAAACAAAAGAAGAGAAGGAGACAAGCAGAGGAAGATGTCATCACCTATGTCGGATCCAAGGGTAAGCTGAAGAAGAAAGGTCTAACAGAAATTACTTGTAGTGTTTGTGGAGGATCAGGCCACAACATGAGGTCTCATCAAAAGGTTGGCTCAGCAAATGAGGTTTGTTTAGAGTTCAAAACTGTTGTTTATTTCATTTTATTGTTCAACTAATATGGTAAACGGAAATCACTAACTATTCTCATTTCAGGCTTGCTATGAGAATGTTACATCTTTTGCAAATGAGGATATGTCAAACCACGTTGTGAGTGATAACTCAAGGGTAAAACTAGTGCCTAGGAGGCTACTGAGTAATACAACAAGTGAAGTGCAGCCATCAACACCGAACTCCAATTTCCAGTTCATGCCAACACCTGGCATTGGTGTAACAAGTGCCTCCCAGTTGAAGAACTATGGTCCTCCACCTGATCAGCCAGGCAGTTTAACAATGGAGAAAGCACCTCCACAGATGCAAACTACTTGTATTCCACTTGAATCCATGGTGAAGGATTTCCAAAATATAGAGAACCAAGAAACTGAAAGGAAGAGGGCAGCCATGATAAAAAACAAGAAGGTCGTTCAAGGGTCAGTTACATTTGTGCCACCAAGACTGAATAAAAATTCTGCCACTCAGTAGCAACTCAACATGCTTCACAAGGCAGCTATTGATTTAGATTTGTGAAGTACTTTTGTGTAACTGCTTTTGTCATCAAGGATCCTTTTGTGTAACTGCTGGACATGATCACACATGATCTTTTTGTAATGAAGATGATCAAACATGATCTTTTTGTAATAAACTCAAGAAGTTCTTGATTATTTATATAAACCTGTTGGAAACTACTATTCTGCAACAGCATCCCTCATTAACAAAAGTGCAAAGGTGATTAACTGAGGTTGTGCAGGCCTCAATTTCATCATTTTTGTGCTGGCCACTCAGTTTGCAGGTATGCATACCTACAAACTGTGCATTCATCAACCCTTGCACCATCCACAGCAGTCATTTCAGAACTTGCAACAAGTATGCAATTCATAAATACAAAATACATTCAACAACCCTTGCACCATCCAACACCAAAATACAGAATGTGTAGTAAAAATTTTAGAAATTATGGAATTCAAAACTACATTCTTAACAACAAGAATAATATAATCTTCAAGTTGTTATACAGTTAATATTGAATTCAATATCAAACACCAACCATCACCTACCAACCACACCTTCAAAGCACTACTGCACTGCAATACATAATGTTCCCTAAGATCTCCAAAAAAAAAAAAAAAAAAAAAAAAAAACNAAAAAATCGAAAATAAAAAATGGCACGAAAACAACAAAGAGAACGACCCCCAAGTTTTTGCCTTTGTTTTCTGATTAGGTACAAATGAATGAAGTACAAAACATTACGGGCATTTTAAAGTTGTTTATAAACGAGTATGCTAATGAGTTATATCCAAATTTTACATCACTGGCAAGTAGCCCGTCGAGAAGTAGGAAAGATAGGACCGACATTTGTTTAACAAACTATATTTGACAAAAAAATAATAATAATATTTACAGTCGTGAAAATAGCAACTATGTCATCATCTCCGATAAAAGAAGTGAACTAATTGTCATCTTTCAAGGGCATTAATCCAGCAGTACATAAATGTTTTTGGTTTGTTGCTAGCCACATACATTTATGTATTCGTCTCTTCAATTCAATCCACACAAATAATTTGCACTCCATTATCTTTCCATATATTTAACCTGAAATTATAGAATGTTTTATTACCCAAAAAAACTTGCCAGACATGGAAGCTCTGAGAGCTTCCTCTTTCACGTCATTCACCTACCCACTAACATCAAGAACCATATTTGAAAAACCCATTTTTCAGATTCCTTTAACTCAGAAATTAACTTCACCTGTTCCCACAAATCTCAGCAAGAAAGCGAAGTTCAAGAATTTTACAGCCATTTCTCCAACTGTCCTATCTACTGAGGAATCTGAAAATTCATCATCGCCTGATCAAGAAACTGAAGCAGAAAATCGAGAAGAGAAATTTGATTGGTTTGCACAATGGTACCCAGTGATGCCAATTTGTGATCTTGACAAGAGAAGACCTCACGGGAAGAGAGTATTGGGAATTGACATAGTGATTTGGTGGGATAGGAATGAGAATGAATGGAAAGTGTTTGACGATAGTTGTCCTCACAGATTGGCTCCTCTGTCCGAAGGAAGAATTGATCAATGGGGTAGGCTGCAGTGTGTGTACCATGGCTGGTGTTTTGGTGGTTCTGGTGATTGCAAGTTCATCCCCCAAGCACCCCGGGATGGCCCTACGGTGAAAAATAATCCTTAAATGAGTGATAGCATAAATTTACTGAACTGTGTTCTCTTAATTGCAGCTAGATCATTTAAGTTTTGATGCTTGCAGCTGCTAACCATGGGGACTTTTATTTGTTTCTTTTAACACGGCTTTAGACCTATTTTTCCTTTCTCTTCTTCTTTAGACGAAAATGAAAATATTTGTTGTTAATTTCATGATAATTATTAATGTGACCTACAAATTAAACTGATTAACAGTAACAAAGGAAAAATCGTTCTGCAGTGCAACAAAGAACAAAGACACAATTTCTTCATTCAAATTTTCATTTGAAAATGAGTTTTCTTGTACATGAGCCCCTTTATAAAAAGGAAATAGTTGGGTTTACTCCTCAGTGGTCACCAGTCCGAGTCATTTCAGGCCACTAAGATGAGTACCTAACCGTAAACTTTAGGGTCTCGTGGGATTAGTAGAGGTGCTCACAAGCGAGCTCGAACACCCACGGTTATAAAAAAAAAAAAAAAAGGAAATAGCCTGAAAAGTAGAATAACGCATCATAGATGTAGGAAAAGGTCTTGTTTGGTATAGAATGAGCGTTTTCTGATAGTACAGAATATCCTAAGCATTTGAACTGCCATTAAAGTTAAAAAATTCTTGATCATGACACAACATACCTGTGCCTTGCTCTGTTTGTGTGTATGAGTGTTTGCATAATGGCTTCTAGACAATAAATAATTTCGTTAAGTTTCTTTGGTTCTGCAGGTTCACACTTCTAAGAAAGCATGTGTAGCTGTATATCCAAGTTGTGTACAAAATAATATTCTTTGGTTTTGGGCGAATTCTGATCCGTTATATGAAGATATTCATTTGAAGAAAAAGCCTCCCTACATCCCAGAACTTGACGACCCATCATTCACCAATATGATGATATCCAGAGATATACCCTATGGGTATGCTATTGTTTGCTTTTCCGTTTTGTTACAGAATTTTTATGAATCATGTTTCAAAGCACTCTGCATGGAATCAATATAAAATTTTCCATTTGACTATTTTAACTTTCACACTGGCTCTCAGTGTTCTTGTACCTCAATTAAAGGAAAAGATAAATCTTGCGTCCCTTTGCTTTCTCACAAGAAAAAGGAAATAATTTCTGAGAATCAGAAAAATGGAACTGCTGAAAGAGATAACTAGTACTTCTGTGAAAAAGTAAGATGAAGAAATTCAATTATGATCGCTCGAGGGACAGAAAAGTCGATACCTGATTCACTTATTGTTATCTGATGAAAGTTCCAACAACTAACTGTGACATAACATGGTGCATGGATATTAAATCGAGCATCAAAACATCAAAACTTGGACCTGTTTAGTGTTATTCTTTACAGCTGCATTGGCATTTTCAGGTATGAACTTCTGATTGAAAATCTCATGGACCCTGCTCATGTCTATTACGCTCATCGTGGAATTATGAGAGTTCCAGAAACTCCAAAGAGATAAGTAAATCTGTGCATGACTTACTTCTGGTATGTTTTCCTTTGAATTTCACATGGCTAACGGTAAGTATCCTGCACTCTGAAGGCTGATAGAGAAGGAGGCAAACCGGTTGAAATAAGTTTACAGAAACTAGACATAAACGGTTTCACTGCAAATGCAACTGGGAACAGCAATTTTGTTGCACCTTGTCTCTACTACAGTTTTTACAGTCTAGGAGTGGATCCAAGTAAGCAGTCCACATCATCGGTTGGAACCACAGAGGTAATTAGTTTATATTTTCATCGTCTCTAGTTTTGATTGCTTAATAAGTAATCTTTAATTTCACTGTATTTCTTTAGCAGTATGTATTTTCTTTCATGCAGGAGCCATCATCACCGGTTACACAGAAAAGAGCGCTTCTAATTTTCTACTGTATTCCAGTCAGTCCGGGTAATAGCAGGTTGATATTTGCTTCTCCAAGAAACTTTGGGGTGTGGATAGATCGAGTTGTTCCACGTTGGCTCTTTCATATCGGACAAAACTTAATTCTGGATTCAGATCTATATCTTCTTCACGTAGAGGTGAATTTCAACTCAATTTTTAAAATTTTTTTACAGATTACATTTTATCATAATATTCAACATACTTAGATAACTTCTGAAACTAAGCAGTAAGCACTAGGGTCCTATACATGATTATCAAGCATTGACAAATAAGTAGATAATTAAATGTTTCATGTCTATGCTATCTTGCTCTCTTTGAATATGATCAGGGTGGCCTGACTTTCTTATCATCAGGGCATTCAAATTTAAGTAGGTACATCATTTGAATAAACTCATGTAGTCTATGTAAACAGATTATCAAAAGAACGCAAGCAAGTCACTGGGCACCAAATGTCGTTTTTCCCTCTAATCTATCTACCGATGCATTTCCTTGCTTGTGCTTATTTTGCTGGCAGCATGATTTTTGTGGTAACACTAGTACCTACTAAAGGTAGTTGAAGACGTGAAGAATTAAGAAAGAAATCAGACAAATGCATCCCAAATAAGTCTGTTGATATAACATCGAGGTTTAAGGATGTCATAGAAAACACCTATATTTCGCGGTACTCCAACTCATGATGAACAATTGCTAGACCGTTGAGTGTAATTTTATCATTTCTAAGAGTTCATTTGCTTGAGAAGGCTTCTCATGTATAAATATTTTCTCTGTGATAAAATCTGTAGATTGCTCAATGTTAAATTCTTGATCGTTATGTAAGAATACAATCATATAGTACTTTGGAAAGACATACATCAAATGAGCTGATTCATTTATTGTTTCTTTTAGGAACGCAAGATAACTGATCTTGGCCCTCTCAATTGGCATAAATCCGGCTTTGTGCCAACTAAGGCAGATGCTCTTGTGGTTGCCTTCAGAAGGTGGTTAAACAAGTATGCAGGCACTCAAGTTGACTTCGGAACAAAGTTTAGCAAACTACTCCCACCAACCCCTCCTAGAGAGCAGCTGTTTGATAGGTAAATCCTGAGGGCTCAAACTGGGTCTACTCCAGCTAAGACCAAAATATAAAGTTGGCTTCATTTTCTTTGATTTCTCATTATGAATACGATACTTATTTGATAAACCGTATCATATGCTATAGAGACCATAGGCACTGTGCCACTATATCGAGCTTAATTATATTATTTAACCATGTAATCTCCTTATTGGAAAAAAAAAATAAAATCTTTAGGCCCTAGTGGAAATAGATCTTACATTGAGGGTAAAGCACTATAAATTTATGTGTTTGTGTGCGTGTTTATGTTTTTCGTTTCATTTATCAATAATCTTGAGATTGGAATTAGGGCTTAATCCAGAATATGAATGGAGCTTGCTAACAAAATTCGTGTGTCACTTTTTTTTTTTTTTTTCCACAAATATTGAGTGGTACTGTTTTAGGAGTTAAATTTTACACGATCTTCTGCTTTCATTTTAATTGGTAGAATCAATGCAAATTGACAAGATTGAAGTATGCATTTTCACACTTCCAGTTAAATGACACGATTTTTGTGATCGTTTCAGGTATTGGTCCCACACAGTGAATTGTAGTAGCTGCAGTGTTGCGTACAGAGGTCTCAATACACTTGAGATTGTGCTGCAGGTCATCTCCATTGCTTCAATTGGAATAGTTGCTGCAGGGAAGCAGGGTATTATGTCCGCGGCTGCAAGGAACAGCCTGGTATGCATGGCTGTTCTGTGCTTTGTGGCTTCAAAATGGTTGTCTCACTTTATCTACAAAACTTTCCGATATCATGATTACGACCATGCCTTCCGCTGAGACTGCTTGTAACAAACAATGCCATAAATTTGTAGTTGATATCAGGATCATCTAACATTTACAATTTTGCATATAAATAAATTTAGAAACGTGGACTTGTGAATTTTGCCGTTATTTTTTGCTTAATGCAACGTCAATGGAGTGCACTATATTATAGGTGTTTTAAGTTTGTTTCATAAAAGGGTGTTCTAAGTGCAATTTATCTCCGAAGTTTACATAATGTATTCAAATGATTCTGCTTGAAATTAGTTCTATGGGATGTCCATGTCTCAAGATAATATGTCTAGAGTTTCTACTATAAACGTTAATATATAGTCTCTACTCTGTTACTTGCTGTAAAAATGCATGAAAATTGATAATCTGAACAACAATTTTTTTGGGTCACTCTACTACCTTTTCTGTTACTTCTGAAGCTATTTCAAAACCCATTTTAGACCTACTTAGCAATGGCTGCTTCACACATATTTTGTTCTCTGAGTCTTGCAAAGGGCAGTCAACATCGCCTTGTCAGGGCGACAGGAAAAATAAGAGAAAGCAGGGTGAGTATAACGATAAGTAAAAGGAATTGGGGATGGAGTGAATTTCCAGAATTAATCTTGACTGCTAAACTATTTAATTGCCCTCTTATCGAGGGTGACTTCAAATGCAAAGCTACACGTACATAAATGGAGGCAACAGAAATGGTACAGAATGCTCACACAAGCAGGGGTGGTCAATTTTTGGCAATATTTTATTTTTAATAAAATAATATTACATATAAATCGATTTTTTTTTTTTTTTTGACTTTTTCAACCACACATTCTTCAAGGAGACACAATTTCAAAAATTATAACGTCAAAAAATGGAATCAAATGGGGCTTAAAAAATTCAAGTACCTCTTAAGCTATTTTCGAATACTTTAGTTGTCGGTTTACAGTTCACACACTATACTTCTATGTGCCGACAGGAAAATACCAACCGCAAAATTGTGACAGCTCACCGGATTGTTGTTTCTTCAAGTCTAATCTTCGACCTTTTTACTTCATCAAAACAAATCCACCTGTCATCAATTTTTCCATTTCTAGAATCAAGATCCAATCTTGTACTCCAATTCTTGAAAATAAAGGGTATAATTTAACTTGGATCTGGGATTATTGTTTTTTAGCCCTACTTTTCACTCTACCCTCCAAGATCTGTTCTTTCTCACTTACTTAGGGGAGTGTCAATCGTTTTTGAACCCTAATACCAATCACGGTTTCAAGATCCAAATGTTTTATTGCTTCTTCAATGTTTTAGGTAAATTTCAGACCAGGTGAGTACTTCTCTATATAAAAATAAATAAAATTGATTCGATTACATACCATTGTTTCTCTAACAATTTCGCCATCCCATTTGTCTGTTTCCTCATTTAAATCTCAAAGATTCGTTCTTTAGCTGAATTTAATGTATTTTCCCTGGCAATTTTAGTGAACTCAGTTTGAATTTAATTTGGGATTTAGAGCTTTGCGTAAATGAAAGAACTGAATCCTACAGATCCCATTGGGCAAAACCTAATTAAGCTGATAAGCAATGTGTGTTTCTCAGTATTTGTTTTCTCAGTCCTTATATTTACTGTGATTGCAATCACATACCAACCCCCGGATCCGTGGGAGTCCTCTCGAGCTCTGACCAAGGTTTTCACGGAGGTAGAAAATGCCACTTTCAAAACGGATTCTTCCATCCTTAAAACTGGCGAGGACATTGCCACTGCGCCAGTGGCATCGCCTATAGGATCACTGGTCCCGATTACTGAAGCTTCAATTGAGAAATCTGAGGAGGAACTTGAGAAAAACCTGACCTTGAAATCAGGTTGTGAAGATTTGCATGTGATCAATTGTTCAGACCCTAAGGTTTTAATTGCAATCCAGAGGTTCAATTTGAGGACTTTTAAGTCAATAGCTTTTTTGGATTATCAAACACCAGTCAATGGATCGAAGCCTGATGAATGTGATGTGGCGTGGAGGTTCAGGAACAAGAAAGAGAGGTCTTGGAGAAAGTATAGGGATTTCCGGAGGTTTAAGATGGGCTTTAACGATGATTGTAGTTACAAGGTGATTCATCCAGGGCGATGGCATTCTGGTTTGAATGCCCGCCGTCCTAGGAGTCGAATTAATGCCACCGGTAATGGTCAAAAGGCAAAAATTGCTCCATCAGTGCGGGACAATGAGATCAATGATACGATTCCTGTGATGGGATCAGATTCGGCATTTAGAAGGGGGAAGTACTTGTACTATTCACGAGGAGGAGACTATTGTAAAGGAATGAATCATTATCTTTGGAGCTTCTTGTGTGCCCTTGGTGAGGCCCAGTATTTGAATCGTACATTTGTTATGGATTTGAGTATTTGTCTAGCATCAACTTATACACAGACCAACAAGGATGAGGAAGGAAAAGATTTTAGATTCTATTTTGATTTCGAGCATTTGAAAGAAGTGTCTTCAATTGTGGATGAAGGGGATTTCCTCGGAGATTGGAAGAGATGGGACAAGACCCATAAAGCAAAAATTCCAGTTAGAAAGGTTGCAAACTATAAGGTGACACCAATGCAACTAAGGAAAGATAAAAGCTCGATCATATGGAGGCAATTTGACGCTCCTGAGCCAGAAAACTATTGGTACAGGGTTTGTGAAGGTCCGGCAGCTAAATATATTGAGAGGCCGTGGCATGCGATTTGGAAATCAAAGAGATTAATGAACATAGTTTCTGCTATTAGTGGGAGCATGGACTGGGATTTTGATGCAGTTCACGTGGTACGAGGGGATAAATCACAGAATAAGGCGCTATGGCCTAATTTGGATGCTGATACATCACCTGATGCTCTTGTTACTAAGCTTCAAGGGATGATTGAACCTTGGAGAAATGTGTACATTGCTACCAATGAACCATTCTACAATTACTTCGATAAGCTGAGATCTCATTACAAAATTCATTTGCTTGATGATTACAAGTATTTGTGGGGAAATACGAGTGAGTGGTACAATGAGACGACACTTCTGAATGGTGGTCGCCCTGTTGGGTTTGATGGTTACATGAGAGTTGAAGTGGATACTGAGGTCCTTTATAGAGCAAAGACACGGGTAGAGACGTTCTACAACTTAACTAGAGATTGCAAAGACGGAATCAATATGTGCTCAACAGGTTAAACTGTCGTTTCTTTTCTTATATCCGTTGATTCACATCTGCTTTTCTTCTGTTTTTACAGTTGTCTGCCCGATTCAAATTATGCAAAAAGTCTTCCTTGGCCATCTAGAATTGTTTCGTGCATGTCACAGTATACTGCAGTGGTTTATTACTCAGTTGATGGTATCTAGTTTAAGATTTTGCATAAAACAAATTGAACGTCTCTGTTTGGCGTTCCTTTTCTAATGTTGTGTTTAGTTTTGTGATTGTACTGGTTAAAGTTGTAGCTGTCAATGAAAAGCATGGACAAATGAAACCCGTTTCTCAATCTTCAAAACCTTCAAAATCATAAGGCTTTTCCATCTTCTCGATTATCATATTTGTACGAAGGATTAGATCAAACTAGAAAATAAGAATGAGAAACTAAACTTTGTTCATTATACTGTTAAATACTGTCAGTCCAAACATAAAAGCATAAGTTTTCGAGCGTTCTTGTCTTGGCTGATATCCCAATATTTATGACTTATAAATGCTAATAATTCCTTCTTTCCAGTCTCAATAAAATAGGCTATGGGAGAAATCATAGTTAGTCATCAATGTCTAAGAGACCAAACTATTTCAAGTAGTGCATTTGTTCATGACAGACTTTTCCAGAATTACAAATGACAAAAATTGAACAGAAATATACTGGCCTAATTGCCACCAGTATAAACTATTAATTGTCTCTATAATTTTAATGATCCCATTAATGAATTTAAATTGCTCTGAGAGACTTGTTCATTAATCTCTGTCAAGTGAGGTTATGTGATCATTGAGTTTTAAGTTTGATGCATAAGTAATAAAGATTATTGTTAGGACTGTGAACGGTCACAACTTCTTTGATGTTTGCAATCGTGAAGACTGCAAAAGCTACTATGTTGTTACATGATCTAATTTTAAACACTAGTGGTGCTATACAATACTCTTGAAGTCGCACAAAAATCAGAGCAGCATGTAATCGACCTAGAGGAAATCTATGAAGTCTCTTGCAAAAATCAGTTGAAGTTTGATCTAGAAAAATGTGGGTTTGGGACGACCAAGGAAATATTTATCGGCTTCATAGTAAACCAGGTAGAAACAAGTTTTACAAAACTCGTAGGTCTTGACTCGGCCATCCCTCGCGAAGTTCTTAGGGGTATCAGGACACAAGGTTACCGTAGTTCTTATATGAGAGGAGGATAAAGTGGAGCCACCAATTTACTATGTGAGCCATGTATTGAACGATAAGAAGACTGGATACGACATGGCCGAGCAATTCATTTTGACTCTAGTAATGACCGCAAGAAAGCTCATATAACGAATCTCTCTCGATCGTTGCCTAACTATCAACCGAGCAATAGCATCTTATACTAACGAAATTAAGTCCAAATTTGTCAGAGGTTTTTTTTTTTTAATTGCCACTCAGTTTAATGAAAGACAAAATATACACATATTCCTTTTTGTATGCTAGTAGTAAACGTGTGCGTTGCACATCTTGTTATCAAATTTATGATGTGTGTTTGAATAGTTGAGGTTATTGATATTGTTAAAGGAAAAATTAAAATAGTAAAATATATATATATGAATAATTTTTTTATGAAATTATGTATATATAAAAATGTTGAATAAACTTAAATGTAATATTATGATTACAATAATACTTCTTTGTACACAATTTTTTTTTTTTTTTTGTCGACATCTACATCTTTTCTTCTTTTTATTTTCTACTTTTATCAGGATTTTTGTTGTTTATATTGAAACTGCACGAGAAAGTGTTACATATAGTTGCTCTTGAGAGAATACATGCTCAAAAAAGTATATTCCAACGGTACAGCACTATTTGTCCTTATCATTTGCTGGAGTTAATGAATTGTGAAAGAAAAATTTGTTTTCCTACATGTTGTCCAACGATTATTTCTACATGGATAATATGTTTCTTGAAATTACGATATGAATCCAGATTCCTCAAAGCATCATTGGATAATTTCTTTTCAAAATTAACTTATGTTGCGGGATATTCTTCAAAAACATGTCCTTCCAAGTTCTTTAAACAACACCTGTTTTTATAATTTCACGTTGAATAAATTGAAGTAATGTTGTTAATAAAACCATCCGTTTTTCAATTTCATTTTGAAGTAATGTTATTAATCAAATTAAAAGAATTTTTTTTAATCTCAAAAAGGGAATTTAAGGCCATCCTTTGAGTTCCTTAAAGAACATCCGTTTTCAATTTCATGTAAATTAAATTGAGCTAATGTTGTTAATAACAGTTTCCATTTTTCAATTTCATTTTGCTATTAATCAAGTAAAAAGATTTTATTTTATTTTATTTTCTTATCTCAAAAGAGAATTTAAGATCATTCTTTGAGTTCCTTAAACAACACCCGTTTTTCAATTTCATATTGAATAAATTAAAGGTATTTTTATTTTTTAATCTCAAAATGGGAATTTAAGGCCATCCTTTGTGTTCTTTAAACAAAACCAGTTTACCAGTTTCATGTTGAATAAATTGTGTTAATAAAAATTGATATAATATTAAAAAGATTAATTTAGGGAATTATTGAACAAATGGAGAAGAAAAGGATTTTTAAATTTTATGTTGAATAAATCGAATTAATGTTAACAAGGGTATATTGGACATATATATAAGAGAAATTTTGATATTCAGTATGTTAGTGCCAAGGTGAACATATTAATACAACCTTTTAATTTAATTTACTTTTTTTTGTAAATCAAATGAGGGTATGTTGAGCATGTAATTAAATATATAAGGATAAAATTGGTTTTCAAAAGTTTATCCTCCATCATTGTAGATATGTTGTAAGTAGAGCTTTTTGAGGTGGGATTTTATTTAAAAACCATTAAATATTTGGTTTATAACAATGTATGAAAAAGAATGGTTGCTAATTTGATGGGGTTATCAAAACAAGTAAATAATTTTGAAATAGTGCATATTGATGGTGCTGTTTGAAAATATGAAAGTATTATAAAGGAATTATGATGCAGTGATATACAAAATTTGTGTGGATATATAGATATATAAAAATGGCGTTGATGGATATATGAAATGATCGAATAAATTATGATGAGATAGATATATAAAAATGATACGGATATATTTTTTTTAAATGAATGAATTTAATAAAAATAATATTACAATGTGACGTGGTTGAAAATAATATATTTTTAAAGTTTTTATACTTTAATGATAGATATAGAGTGAGATAGATATATAATAATAGCGTGGGTCATAATATTTGATCTAAACATGTTTTCAACCCAATCAACACGTTTAAATCGATTAAGCGGAAGCATAAAACGGAACGTACCTCCGGCCATTGCTATTTCTGCTTTCGTTTTCGAAAGGGCTTCTAATCCTTTATCTCTCGCTGATGGTGTAACTTTTACTGAAAATGAAGAGCAGACTTTGAGACCTTCCGAAAAGGGGTTGCTCTGCCTTTATAACGTTTCATCCATCAAGAAGATGTTTTCTTTGAGCGAGGAACGTGGGTGAGCGGTTTCATAACCGTTGATGCAATTACCCACGTTCAAAGATTTGTGGAATATCATTGACCACATTTAAGAAAACTAACAAATAGTGGATGTATATGATGGTTCTCTAAATGCAATTTTTCTCACTTACATGTAAGTTTATAAAATTTTTTTTCCATACATACTATCATATGGACTATTATTTTAGGAAAAATCCATTTGTACACCGTAATGTGAAATGTTGTAAATTTTACAATGTCCTAATCATTGTCCTTTTGGAAATTATTTCAATAGTAAATACATAATTAAAGCACCCAATTAGAAAAGGAAAAAAATATTTATTATACATATTTGGGAAAAAAAAAAAAAAAAAATTCTACAAAATATCTGCCCAACTTTTGACCCCTGTTGCCCTTTCAGACCTCTTTCCATTTTCCATTCAAATCAAAAATTCAAAATACATTATCTAAATACTTATATCTTGTTTGAGTCATGTTTTATCAAAAAATCATTTTTTGCAAAACTCTTTTTCAATCGTACATTCTCCAATAAAATAATTTTACACGAAAATTGAAAATTTTATCTTATTTTCTAATCACATATTTTTCAAAAATTACTATTCAAAAATATATTTTTTTCTTTGGACGGCTTATCAACCAGTAAAAAACTAATATCTCCATAATATCCTACTTTGCCCTAATTAGCCCCACCATTACAATCAATCCCTCAAACTCCAACTTTATTTCTCAGCAGTCAACTGCAACAGAATATTGTACTTTATTCTTCAATTCTTGTACATTCTCAATCATAATTTCATCCATAAATAATCCTAAAATAAGAAGGGGAAAAAAATATTACGCCATGGAGGCGCGAATTGTGTTTTCAGTGCGTGCTCCCTATATAAGCATAGAGATACACACCTTCAGTGTGTGTTTGTAGGTGAGAGAAAGGCATACTTTCGAGAGAAAGAGGAGGAGTGACACCACCAAACACTCACAGCATAGAACTGCTATCTTCAAATCAAAAACCCTAGTTACTTGCTAGCCACCGACCGAGGATGGACGCCGAGTCAACTCAGTTCCAGCAAGCACAACTCGCGGCGATTATGGGGCCGGACCCGGTGCCCTTCGAAACCCTAATTTCCCATTTGATGTCCTCCTCAAATGAGCAGCGATCCCAGGCCGAGTCAATCTTCAATCTGCTCAAGCAGACCGATCCCAACTCACTAGCCCTCAAGCTTGCGCACCTCCTGTCGTCATCCCCTCATCATGAGGCCCGTGCCATGTCCACCATTCTTCTCAGGAAGCAGCTGACTCGGGACGACTCGTTCATCTGGCCCCAACTCAGTGATGCGACTCGCTCAGCAGTTAAGAACATCCTCCTCTCCTCTATCCAGCGGGAGGATTCCAAATCCATCATAAAAAAGCTATGCGACACCATATCGGAACTCGCCTCATCGCTTCTCCCAGAAAATCAGTGGCCGGAAATTTTACCCTTCATGTTTCAATGTGTAACTTCCGATTCCCCAAAGCTACAGGAATCTGCTTTTTTGATATTCTCCCAATTAGCCCAGTACATAGGGGATACATTAATTCCATTCATAGTGGATTTGCACACCGTCTTTCTAAATGTGTTGAACAATTCTCCGAATCCTGACGTGAAAATTGCGGCCTTGAGTGCGGTCATTAATTTCATTCAGTGCTTGACGAGTTCAAATGATCGCGATCGATTCCAGGATTTGTTGCCTGCGATGATGAGGACCTTGATGGATGCATTGAACTCCGGACAGGAGGCAACCGCCCAGGAAGCATTGGAGTTGATGATAGAGTTGGCTGGAACTGAGCCCAGGTTTCTACGCAGGCAGATTGTAGACGTGGTGGGGTACATGTTGCAGATAGCCGAGGCCGAGAATTTTGAAGAGGGCACAAGGCATTTGGCAGTAGAGTTTGTGATTACTCTCGCAGAGGCACGTGAGAGGGCGCCTGGAATGATGCGCAAGTTGCCTCAGTTTATTGATAGGCTCTTTGCCATTTTGATGAAGATGCTTGTGGATGTTCATGATGATCCTGCTTGGCACGGTGCACAAGCTGAGGATGAAGATGCTGGGGAGACAAGTAATTACAGTGTTGGGCAGGAGTGTTTGGATAGGCTAGCCATTGCCCTTGGCGGGAACACAATTGTCCCCGTGGCCTCTGCACAGTTGCAAACTTATTTAGCAGCTCCAGATTGGCAAAAGCATCATGCGGCTCTCATTGCCCTTGCACAAATTGCGGAGGGCTGTTCAAAGGTATAAACAATGGTTAAGTTTCTATTCGAAGTCCATTTTTATTGTTTATTGAATTTGTTGACTCCGAATAAATATTACGTGGCAATATATACTTTTTATATGCATGACAGTCCATACACACTCCTACAATTGTACCTGTCAGTATTTGTGCCACATGCATTAGGTTATTAAAAACTTTATTATCTCATTTAGTAGTATAATCTAGATGACAATGATCATTTGGCAGATGTTGAACTTGGTTTGTAGTTTTGGATAAGTTTGACGGAGTAACTTCAGATTTTTTTATTTTTATTTTTCCTATATAGATGTTTATGTGTATATGCATGATGTAATATCATTTATCCAGAAATGTATGATGCAACAGTAATGTGATGCGAATTTTAATTCCATAGTAATATATTTTTTCGCCTGTTATTGTCTATTGTAGCCACATTTTTAATCTTGAAACTCTATGCAAGTTAAGTGCTAACTAATCTTGAAACTCCTATCGATTTGATATTTTCTCTTGATTAACTTCGTTTGTTTGTGGGAATCTGGCTTGAGTTTGATACAATAATGTGGGATGTTGTTGGGCTTGTTAAAGCGATGTCATGGGGTTCTGTTGATTTCTGGTATAGTGAAGTCATGAAGTTTGTTTGCTCATTGGTCCAGTCTATCAATTTGGAAGTTTTTTTTATATTTGTGAAAGCTCCTCACAATTTACTTGCTACAGGCGATGATTAAAAATTTGGAACAAATTGTGAGCATGGTTTTGAATTCCTTTCAAAATCCTCATCCTCGCGTTAGATGGGCTGCAATTAATGCAATTGGTCAGCTTTCAACTGATTTGGGCCCAGATTTGCAAGTTCAGTACCATCAGCATGTTCTTCCGGCTCTCGCTTCAGCTATGGATGATTTCCAAAATCCTCGAGTACAGGTTTGTGGATCTAGTTTCTCTATCGAATACTTGATGTAACTGTATATTATCGACTTCGTATTGTATTTCCTTCTTCCTTGAATGCGAACTTGCTTCCTGGCTTTAAGTATGAAGCCCATGCTATAGTGATCTTTATATTACCTTGTGTGTTTTTATAAATGTTTTTGGGCATTCTTGAATGTAAAGGAACATAAGATTTCGTCTTTCTGTTCTAAATGTTGAACTATATCATGTAATAATAGTCTAGAGGCCATGTTTGAGAATTTTCTTTTATGTATATTTCTCTACTAGTATATTGCAAGAAAAATTCATTAGTGGTAGTGGTGAAAGTAGAAACCTTCGAGTTCCTCATCATTTTATTTGAGATCAGTGTTCTCGTCTGTTGTGATTAACCTTCTGATAGTCCGTTTGGTTATTAATAGACCAGGAAAGGGGAAAAGAATAATTGAAAGAAAGGAAATCAATTAGTTATTCGTCAAAGTTTCATTTATTCAATGACCAGAATTAAACGAGGATATATAGGTGGAAATGCAAATGAAAAAAGTTAGCATTCCATAGTGAGAAATATTTCATGTTCTGTTACAAAAGAATTCAGGGAAATTTGTTAATGGTTCCTCATTTCCATTCATGCTCAGTGATCTCTACCTCTGTGAACAAGTTACTAGGTTTAGTTTGTTCGCGAATGAGTGGTGGTTACATTTTAGTTTTGCTTGCGTTTGTTATGACAGGCTTCTGATGTTCATATATTAATTATCTGCATACTTTTTGTGATGTTATTTTGTCAGCCATTTTATAAATTGGAAAGAATTATTTAATCGCAAGACATTTGTAGAGATAAATTACAATTATGAAGACTAAAGGTGTAACGCTCCAAAACCTATGTCTCGGAGGTTACTCAAATAATTCCTTTAACCATTATAAAAGTTGATCGACACATTGTAATACAAAGAATTTGAAGAACTTTGCTGAATAAAATAAGCTACTTTATAGTCTCATAATATGTCAAATAAATTCAATTCGCTAATGAAATATATATCCATCGATTTTGAAAAATTAAAGTCTGATTGTAAAATAACTTTAAACTAAATAATAAATACTAAATAGTGAAAGAAAATTTAAGTTCTTGATCCCGTGACACGGACTCTGCCAGTAGTCTCAACCTCCAACTCCGATCAATCATGCATTTGTAAAATATTTTAAATATGGAATGAGCATACGAATACACTTTGTACAAATTCCGTGCAAGTATTTTCACAGTTTAATATAAAATGTAAGTAAATTACGCACATAACATAACTTTTCTAGTGCGATAGAAACCCGTCTCATTTTCACTTAGGTCATAACCATTCTCAATCTCCACTTATGGTATTTAGCCCTATGGCTGATTTCTGTATAGATCTACATAATAATATCCTATGGTATTACCCACAAGATCCTTTTTTAATTTGAATCACATAATAGCACATAAATTACTTAACGTAAAACATTAAAAAATGAAAACACGATACCACTTGGCACATATAGAAATCCATACCTTATTTGTTAAATTGCTTGTATACTCGAGCTATTTAGTACTGAAAATTCTTACGAACGGATCTCGAACGAGCTAAATTCTTTTCTTTTCCTTTCTTTTTCTTTCTTCTCTCTCCCATTTTTTTCCCTCTTTCTCACTTTTTCTCCGCCTCTTTCTCTCTCTCTCTCTCTCAAAATTTGTGTGAATTGAAGTGCAACAACAATAGAGTATTTATAGGTGTGATTTGATTAGGATAGTTACCTAATTAGAATTCTGATAGGACTCTTAATTCAAATTTAGATTGGCCTTTCAACAAACAAACTTATCATGAAATTCGAATTTTAAAAAAATTATAACTACATGATGATAAGATTCTAGCGCGGATATGTGCAAATTTCGAGTTTTATCTAAATAAAATTTTTATATTAGATAATTCGATAATAATTTAATAGATATCCAAAATAATATTAAAATTTAATTTTCATGTAAAACTCACATATATTTAATTATTAGGAATATTAACACAATTTCCCTAGAAAATGGTAAAGTTGTTAGGTTACCTTAAAATCTCAAAACTTGCATTTATGCTTCATAATATATGGTACGTATTTTTGGGGTATTACAAAAGGCATATTGATTATCAATTTATTTTTGTTCTATTCATAATAGAAATAGCTATCTTTTATGCATTGTTTTATTAGGTTCATTTCTATTGGATTGTCTCATTGTGGTAAGTGTAAAATAGGACAAAAATAGACAGTTTGGCTCAAACCAAATCCTAGTTGCTGTGAACAGTCTTGACTGATTAGCACCTTGTTAATACATATTGACTTTCTTCTTCCCCTTAAAGGGACAGAAAGTTTTTTTTTTCTGTTTTTATTGCACTTTAAAAAAATCTTATTTCTATAAGTTGGATTTGCATCCGACCCTATGGCTGAAGAAAATTAGCTATGATGTGATGAGATTAAGTGACTGACTGAAGGATTAAGTAATTTGTTTGTGTGCATATATGCGATTGGCGTAAATTAACCATCTTGGGCTTCAAGCATTAAGGAAAATTTGCCTTGCAGTTCACTGATGCGATGCTTGTGAATTTTGAAGTTCTTTATATCTTTATTAGTCTTTCTTGTGCATTCCTGTCCATTTCTTCCGCTACTGTTTTGCTTTAACTGATTCTCGTGATAGCTTCCTTTTTAACTACCACTAATTTTGACATTCTTGTGTAATTTGTACAAATTCTTTCAATTCCAGATTGAAATTTAAATTTTCATGGTTTATTTGTTAGATTTGTTTTTACGAAAAGTCAACAATATGTATGTATGTGTTTTTCTTTTCTGTTTACGTGGGTCATCTTGAAGAGAAAGAAGTACCTGCTCGGCTGCTCTAGGAAGAAATATTCCACAATGCGTTCCAGTCATTTACTCTTGACAAATTGCACTTTTTTTAAAAATGAGACAAGCCATTTTGTGAAGGAAATAATCTTAAGGTTACTTGTAGGAAAGTGAAAGTCTTTCTGAATTAAAATGAAAAGAGTGCGATTTTTGGTTCTGAAGTCATTATGAATTAAAATGAAGGGAGTACCCTTTTAGTTCTTACTTCTTAAGGAAGAGGTTGAAGCATATTGTTTTAAATTAAAGAATTAGGACTGCACAATATGCCAAACATATTTCTTTGGCTTTTGGTAGTTCCTGCTATCTGTTATCCAACTTGTATATTGTCTACCATAATTCTGTTAAATGTTGATTCCTGTTAATTAATGCTGATATCAATGAACATTTGTCTGATTGTCCTCATATCCTGGCAATGACATAGCTGTGGTTTCTTCGGTTCGTTTTTGAGTTGTTGCTGTTATACAGGCACATGCAGCCTCAGCCGTGCTTAATTTCAGTGAAAATTGTACCCCAGAAATTTTAGCGCCTTACTTGGATGGAATAGTGCACAAGTTGCTTCTACTTCTACAGGTACAAACGCAGAGAAAATACAATATATTCGTACAAATTTACATGAAAGTTTATGCCTATGCGTTAGAGCATACAGCCATGTTTCTCTAGTAAACTGCTTTTGTTATGTGATTTCAGAACTCCAAACAAATGGTGCAAGAGGGGGCCCTAACTGCTTTAGCTTCAGTTGCTGATTCATCGCAGGTACAGCATTCTGAAATTATTATGTAAGTGTTAATTTTATTTTTGTATTCTTTGCCTGTATACTGAGTCTGTTAATTGTATTGACAGGTGCACTTCCAGAAATACTATGATGCGGTTATGCCGTACTTGAAAGCTATCTTGATGAATGCTACTGACAAGTCTAACCGCATGCTTCGTGCCAAAGCCATGGAATGCATTAGCTTAGTTGGGATGGCGGTTGGAAAGGAGAAATTCAAGGAGGATGCCAAGCAGGTAAATAACAACCGACTTAGTTTTGGATGTGTTTCTTATTGAATTTAATATATTTCTTGTTACGAGGTGATTATTTGTTTGTTCGTTGAGTTCTTTTAGTTCTTACCTTAATCCTTTATTCTTTATAAACACGATATATTCTTTTTTTTTTTTTGTGTTTATGCCCAGCTCATTTTGAACTAAATATTTGGTTAACTTTAGCTGATCAATGTTTCTTGCTATTGTTATCATGACATTAATCTCTCAATTCTCTTCTCATGCAAGGTCATGGAAGTGCTCATGTCATTGCAAGGATCTCAAATGGAGACAGATGATCCAACTACAAGTTATATGCTACAAGTATGCCTCCATTCATGGAAGCTGACGATTCAGAATTTTTATTATATTTTTGCATATCTTAAACTCTTCCAATAATACTTCTTACTTTATTATAGGCATGGGCCAGGCTATGCAAGTGCTTGGGACAGGATTTTCTTCCTTACATGAGCGTGGTCATGCCTCCTTTGCTTCAATCTGCTCAGCTGAAACCTGACGTGACTATAACATCTGCTGACTCAGACAATGACATCGATGAATCAGATGATGAGAGGTCTTCTTTGTTCTTAAAATCAATATCCTTTCTTATCCTTCGACGTTCTTTTTGCTTTGTTACATGACAATACTTTTTGCTTTGTGCGGGATGAAATTACCATACCATATTTATGGTCTTTGTACAATTATTTATATTAGGTTTGAGCTTTCCTTTGAGACCTGGTAAATCATCCTTTTGATCTCTAGCTCAAAATAATTATACTATTATTCTTCTCTGTGGTAATTAAAACTTCACTATTATTCTTCTCTCTTGTAGTTAAAACGCAGTGTTCTAGGTTCCTTGCCCGATTCATTTTACCCATTTTACTTTAACTCGCACTAGTGTTTGAAAGAGCTCTGCTTTAAAACAATTAGAAATTTTAGCCATTCTAATTACTAAAGATTTTTACGTTATTATGCCATAAGTACTTCCCTTGTTATCACACTTCCAATGTCTACGTTTTACTCTCATCTATTAGCTATATTTTAGGAAGAATAATGCTATTTATCATTATAATGATGGGACATCGGTGACGTGACAATTTAGGTGGAATAATGGGATATGAGTATATGACACTTTAATCCCCTTCTCTCATAAAAATTCAACTGTTCTATCTCATTATTCCTCCTAAGTTGTGACATCACCGTTGTTTTATCATTATAATGATAAATAATATTATTCTTTTAGGAACTCTTTACACTTTCATGAACTTCATTGGCATCACCTCCAGAAGACCTTAGTACGCCCTGACATTTTTCCTTGTTCCTATACAAATATATAAAACAGTAAACTTCTCGAGAATACTAACGTATGCATAATTATTTCAATAATTTGAGAAAAATTCCGTCAATCATCTAAATTTTTGAAAGAAGCGAAAGAATCTATTATCTCTTTTATACTGTTGGGTGTACAAGAGTGCTTTCAGTATTTTGTAGGATATGAGCTGCAACATGAAAGGTTATACATCTTGAGGAATCGAAAGCATGTATTCTTTGTTTAACTTATTGTATGTTCGTTTTTGGTTTTGTTTGCAATCCTACGACACTTTCGTACCTGTCTTTTCTAATTGAATGGGACATTATAAGAGGAAATAGGTGGCCACGTTTTTCATCGTTTCCACCTGATGGTATGTAACAATTGTAATACTGCAGTATGGAGACCATTACCCTAGGGGATAAAAGAATTGGGATCAAGACTAGTGTCCTAGAGGAGAAAGCCACAGCTTGCAATATGCTATGTTGCTACGCTGATGAGTTAAAGGAAGGTTTCTACCCATGGATTGATCAGGTTGGTGAAGATACATTGGTTTATGTATTCCGACTTTGACTATTAGTCAGAATTTCAAGTTGTCTTCATTATTATGTGGTACAGGTTGCCCCAACATTGGTTCCACTGTTGAAATTTTATTTCCACGAGGAAGTCAGGAAAGCTGCTGTTTCAGGTTATATAAGTTTCAGTATAGACAATTTACCTTGTTTACATATTGATAGTTGCTATTACATGCTATTAAACATTGATGTTTTTTCAGCAATGCCGGAGCTATTACGTTCTGCAAAGTTGGCTGTAGAGAAAGGGATGGCTCAGGGCCGTAATGATACATATGTTAAGCAGTTGTCTGACTATGTAATACCTGCTTTAGTGGAAGCTTTACACAAGGTGGTGTTTACCTGTATTTAAAGAAAAAAATGGCATATGCAAAGCTTTGATCTTGACATTACGGTGCTTTATATCTGGGTAGTGACTATGAATTCATGTCATGCAGGAACCTGATACAGAAATATGTGCGAATATGCTGGATGCGTTGAATGAATGCCTGCAGGTGGGTTAGTTTTATCATACTTGGGACCATGTAGATAATATATTGTTTAAATTGCACGCGCATATTGCAACCGTGCTATTCTGCTTTTGCAGTCTTCTCTATTGGACTAGTGTTTAACATTACTCTAACAACTCCACAATAAGCTTAATACATTCGCAAATTTTATGTCTTGGAATAGACAAAATTCAAAAAGTTCATCTCTTTAAAAAACTGGTTGCACAGTATCATTTGTTTAACAAATTATATTCTATAAACTCAGCAATCTGATTGTTGATTATGTTTTACTAAGCATTTTCCTGGATTGACTGACCTAAAGAAGTCCCCTTGGATAGAGTACATTCCTAATATAACTTGTTAGAGGTGCTTGAGAGGGGCAAAGGTAGGGAATAGAATGGCCCAAAATTAATATGGCTTGATGTTTTGATTGCATTGGATCTTTTGGCTGATGTTTGATGGATAGAATGAAGTGATGAAAAATTAATATGGCTTAATTAGTTGCTGCTGTTTCTGAATTTAACATGTTTGACGTTGGCAGTAAATTCATCATTCCCTATTATCTGTTTCAGATTTCTGGACCACTTCTAGATGAAAACCAGGTTCGAAGTATCGTGGAAGAGATAAAACATGTGATCACAGCTAGCTCTAGTAGAAAGAGAGATAGAGCTGAGAGATCCAAAGCTGAAGATTTTGATGCTGAGGAGGGAGAACTGCTTAAAGAGGAAAATGAGCAAGAAGAAGATTTATTTGATCAAGTTAGTTTATTTATTTATTTGTTTTTTCCAAATATGATGTCTGTATTCCATGTATTTAGTTTTTTAATCAGATAAAATTGGAAGATTAATGTATTGTCTTCTTTTCTGTCTTTAATTGTTCAGGTTGGTGAAATCTTAGGAACTTTGATTAAAACGTTCAAGGCTTCTTTCTTACCTTTCTTTGATGAACTGTCATCATATGTGATGCCTATGTGGGTAAGCTTTAACTCTTCATTCTCCTTTCAACTGCCATCTTTTTTTCTTTTTGCCTGGGGCCAATGGTTAGGTAAAGAATTGCATTGGAAAATTGAACAATATTTTCAGTTTTTTATCCATTGTTCTTTGCCCGATCATCACTAATCTTGATTTTCTTCTAGGGAAAGGATAAAACAGCTGAAGAGAGAAGAATCGCAATTTGCATATTCGATGATGTAGCTGAGCAGTGCCGTGAAGCAGCTCTAAAGTATGCTTGCTTAGCATGCATGTTCTGGAATTTGGTTGCACTTTTCGAAATTCTAATGCAATTGTTCTCTTTTGTGAACCAGGTACTATGATACCTATCTTCCTTTTCTTTTGGAAGCGTGCAATGATGAAAGCCCAGATGTCCGACAGGTTCGTACAAACTTCACAGCAAAGTATTTTGACCTAATGCTTGCTAATGCTCTCTGAATCTATTTGAACTGCCTCATTGCTATTTTCAGGCTGCTGTATATGGGCTTGGTGTTTGTGCAGAATTCGGTGGCTCTGTGTTTAAACCACTTGTTGGAGGTATATGTGATTTCATAGTCTTACACCACGGAGATTTTCACCTTTATATTCTTTAATTGGCCTTGTTTATTACGTGGTTTAGAGGCTCTTTCGAGGCTTAATGTGGTTATCGGGAACCCGAATGCTATGCAACCTGATAATGTGATGGCATATGATAATGCGGTTTCTGCTCTGGGAAAGATATGCCAATTTCACCGTGATGGCATTGATTCAGCTCAGGTGGTTTATTTTTGCTGGTTATTTTATTTGATTGATAAAGCTGTTTTTGTGATTGAAGTATGGCCTCGGTTAGATTTGATGAATCTGAACCACAAGCATGAAGTTGTCCAGAAAAGTCGAGAACTCAGCTATTTCTGATTCTTAAGATCTTAAGAATAATGGAGTTGTATTTTTCTTCATTGCAAAATTGCAATTCTAAAGCAAAAATTGGATGCTCAATGTTTCACAGCTCGTGGTTTCCTGATGTCTACATTTTTGACATCATTGCAATTGTTTAAACAGTTTACTGTTGAGTATATTCTTCTGTAGCGAATCATACTATCTTGTTCCTGTTTTTTTTTCCTACTTCCTGCTGTTCGCGTCTGTGTGAATATGTAAATGGAAGCCGCGCAAGTATCATTTTGTGTGATGGTATTTTTTTTTAGAAAAATGATGTCAAATCATTCTGGAAGAGTTATCTTCTGTGTATAAAGATATATTTCATTTGCTTATATCTCCTGTTAATTCCTGCACTTTTATGCCTGAATGTTACTAGCAGGTAGTCCCTGCCTGGTTGAGCTGCTTACCTATAAAGGGTGATCTTATTGAAGCAAAAGTTGTTCATGAGCAGCTTTGCTCAATGGTCGAGAGGTAGGTGATTGAGACTGCTCTGATCTGGCATTGTTGGAAATCAGACTCTGTTGCTAACAATCCTCACTTTTGTATATTGACCTGGTTTTCCTCTTGTAGATCCGATAGGGAACTTCTGGGTCCCAACAATCAATATCTCCCCAAAATTGTTGCCGTATTTGCTGAGGTCAGTTCTCACTATATGACCAGTCAATATCTAAGTGTGCATTCTATTGAGCTAATTCCAAAAGAGAGTATTGCAATCTAATTAGTCTCCACCTGACTAGGGGATCTTTGGACATTAATATACGAGAATTTTCTCCGTGATCATTTTATTTTTGGTCTTGCGTGTTCAGAGACTTCTCCTATCTTTGAACATTTGCCTCAAAAGAAATATGTATTGTTCGTAGAGACTGCAATTTGACTATCAACTTCTTCTGCGTCAGGTTCTATGTGCAGGTAAAGATCTTGCTACCGAGCAAACTATTAGTCGAATAATTAATCTGTTGAGGCAGCTTCAACGGACACTACCACCATCAACTCTTGCCTCTACATGGTCATCCTTGCAGCCTCAGCAGCAACTTGCACTACAGTCAATTCTTTCATCTTAGTGCACTAGGGGACACCATTTTTTCCATGTGGGTTACTGCTGTTTTGTGCTAATCATGCATTTGTTAGTTAATTATTCATTTAAGTTGTTCACAGCATTCATTTGCATAAGGTCTGTGCATCAGCCTCCTGTTGGTTGTTTTATCCAAGTGTCAATGCCATTTGTGAGTAAAGTATGGACTGCCGTTTGCAGAATGTGTAAAACACAAGCTGTCGTCCCTTCTTGCTTTAGAGAAGAAAAGAGCAAGAGCAAAAGCAAGAGCAAGAACAAGAGCAAGCGCAAGAGCGGGGGGTGGGGGTTAAGTTGTTTGTGGTTTGTGAGATTTGTATTGGTCAATTATGAGATTTGAGGTTTTCAGTGGCAATTCCTGTTGCAGTTTTGATCCAGTCATGTTTTTCACGTTATGGATTGTTTTTATAGTACGAAGTATTTATTTGTACATGGTGATTTTTTTGTTTGTTTGGGATTTGTGGTTTTTAATTAATACCTATATGGGTATTTGCTACAAAGGATTGTACAACGTATCCCGGATCTGTTTCCTACATCTATGTACATTTTTCGATAAATTAATCAAAGAGTTGAGATGCTTTTTCTTCACTTGAATCAATAATTCTTGATTCTGCATATGATATTGGGGAAAGCACATGAATATGCACAAGGTTCGACTCAATGCCGAATGCTATGATGTTCATGTAGATGATACTTTGACACGAACCGAATTGGATTGAGTTTGTGATTATGTTGTTCCAACTTGACAATGGTCGAGTTGATATACGTTTAGTACGGTCAATTTGACCACTATTTTCTCGACTCGACCGGGTTGAGTTGACACTTAAGCCTAATGCTGATAAAAAACTTGGAATTGTAATGGCACAATGCTTGCCAACAGTCTTACGTTGTGACCCGACCAATGTGTTCTACTGTTCCAACTACCCACAACTTCCTATATCTTCAATTTGACTCCATTATTTTAATGCCTTCTAAGTATTTGTGCATGTACCCAAGTACATTTTCGGTAGTTTATGGAAGCAAAGATTCCTTTAAAGCATGCATAATTAGATTCTATATTAGCTTAATACAAATTTGTAGCTGTTTTTACCCACCAAATGTAGTGGTCTACCTCTTTGATATCGAGATTATTGTAATATATTGCAAAAGGGTCAACTTATCCAAATGGCAGGCTTTGAATTAAGCCTCCAAAAATTTCAAAAAAAAAAAAAGAAAGGGATTGGCAGGCCTTCGTGTTTGCAACTCAACATTCATTGCTGACTAAGTGATGAATTTAAAACAAATATTTGAGCTTACCAACTGATGATATCATCATGACAAAATGTACATTTGACTTGAGATTTTAACTATAATTAATTCTTGTCTAGCCTAACATGTCCTTTTTGGTATACATATTTATTCAAGGGGAATGATAAATGTACCGGGTGGGTTGATAACCCCCCCGGTAACTATAGCAAGGCTCTTTATTTAAGGCTCGACTTTACTGGGATGACTATTTTTGGCTTCTTTCGACATGTTCGATACACTCGACTGTCTAGTTCTATCCCTTATGAATATTCACTATTGGTTTAATTTTTCTTGTGTGAATTAGCTGAGGAATTAAGAAAATGAGAGCAAAGAATAAGCAATTTTCCCTTGCAAGGTGAAGAAAAAGGCGAAGAACGTGCTTTGCAGAAATGCGGCACATTAACAAACAAACACAAATAAACATTTCCAGATAATTGGACATGCTGACGACTCATGACTAATGAAACCATCCACTCCTACATTGAAAAATCAGTCAAACATTAACAAAGGAACAAACAGTTTAAAACCAGACAACTACATAAGACAGGCGTACTACATTATCATCCTATAAAAACTCCCACTGCTCTATTTCTTTCTGTCAATCATTGCTAAACTTCTTTCTAACTTAGTACTATGGAACTTCAGTTCCAAAATAGAGGTGCCAATAGTACTGCTAATTCCTACAGATCAAGAAATAGGGGTTCTAACAAGAACAAGTTTGTCGGGGTGAGGCAAAGGCCTTCGGGCAAATGGGTCGCAGAAATCAAGAACACAACTCAGAAGATCAGAATGTGGCTTGGGACATTCGACACTGCTGAAGAGGCTGCTCAGGCTTACGATGAAGCTGCTTGCCTTCTTCGTGGTACAAATACGCGAACCAATTTCTTGAATAACGCCCCTTCCAATCCAGCCCTCTCTTTGAAAATCCGAAACCTTCTTAATCAAAAGAGAGGCCTAAATAAAACCACACCTCCAATTCTTGCTTCCAAAAATAGTACTACCAGAAAAAATATTAACGTTGAAACCTGTCCAAAAACTATTTCTAGTACCAAAACTAGTTCTCAATATTGTACTAGTGTCAGTTTTAATAATTCTCAAACTAGTTCTCCAGCTTGTGTGTCCAATCCGGACATTTTTGAGGATGCGTATAAGCCGGATTTGAGCTGTTTCACGGGAGGATACAAAATGTGCTTCCCTACTTCTTCTGATTATTACGATCAGTCTTCTGCTTTTTTGATGGATTTTGATAAGATTAATCCATTTGGTTTTGAGGCACAAAAAAGAGTTGGCGAGACGGTGAATGATGAGCAATTTCCTGATTTTGAACGTATGAAGGTCGAAAGACAGATTTCAGCTTCACTTTACGCAATGAATGGGATTAGTGAATACTGGGATAACATCCATGATTCAAATGATCCTTTGTGGGATATTTCCATGCTCAGCCAAATGTACTGCTCCAGTACTTAGATTAATTTTTTTGAGATTCGACTTGTGATCTGATCTGATAATATTTTCGACAGATTGAAGCAGAATTTTAGATTCTCCGAAAAGGTATTAGGACCGTGTTTGTATCCCACTACTTCAGTTTCTACATTGAATTATCAAGAATCATTTGAAAAATGGAAAAAAGTTCGAATTTTCTAATTGTCTTCATGTATGGAATACGTGGATTCTCAAAAAAAAATAAAAAATGTTGAATGTGAAACTCTTGCTTTGCACCTAACAACAGTTCTTAAAAGGCAATCGATTAATGCTTGTTTGCTAGCACATGTTTTCTTATATCCATGATGAGAGTGACTCAAGAATTTGGGGGCATCGATTATGAGATATTGAAATATAATCAAATATTTTAGACGGAAAAAATACAACGATGACAATAAATTTTTATTAATAATCATGTTTGTGAACCAAGTATTAATTTTTGAGTCAAATTTTGGATTATATATGAAAAAGTCGTTACGATTTCTTGAATTTTAGAAAGATGACGATAAACTAGCAATCTCGAGTAGAAAGGGATATATTGAAACATAAGATTACATAAGGCCAGCCAAACTCAGTCTAATTGAACAAGCCATCTTCTCTTTGTGGACGGAAAAAAGTAACATCTAACTCTCTTCTATTCGTTTTTGAACAATCAACAATACTTTATGTCAAACTAATAATGTTATGTCAATATTTATGTTTGTCAAACCAATAGATATATCCATAACATATATCACGCACCTACACAAAAAATTCAAAGGGTACAAAATAGATGTCTAACTTAGGATGAAACCTAGGACGCTAGTATTTAATGTCACTTAATTGACACATGTACCGATATTTAACACGAATGATAATGAATAATATTACTTCATTTTTAAAGCATCCTACAATGCTACATTCTTATCAAATCAATATTAATAATGCAGTGCAAACATAAATGGATAACTTTAAACAAGTTTTGTCGTTTAACTACTACTTACCCGATACAAACATAGACGACAAAAACCAATAAATATTCATTTTCTTAACACAAAAGAGGAGACCAGAACAAAAGGAGCAGAAGGCACTCAATTATTTTTGTGAAATGTAAAGAGCACCAGATTACACGTTCACACTCTTTCGAAAAGAACTCGAAGCGATGTAAAAATGATCAACATTTTATTTAAAGTTCAAGATATTATCTAATATTATTGAATTTTCTAAATCTCCTTCAACTTAAAAATAGAACATATTTTTGCTTAAAAGATATAAAAAAAAAATCACATAAAATAAAATTTCATTTTAAGAAAAAAACTAACAAAACTATAGGAGGAAAAAAAGCGAAATTGGAAGTGGAATTACACGAATGAAAAGCACAAAGCAGAGCGTGTAATGGGTATTTAGCCACGTCATCACCTGACCTTTCCCTTTCTACAATAAAAAGAGGAAACATTTGAATCGATCACTTCTAGATTTCTACTGCATGAAATGAAATCAGACTTCTAAACCCTCCGCAATTTTGTACTGTTAATCTCTTTTCTATTTTCAGCTCAGTTTCAATTATTGGTGACCGTTCAATTCTCAATTAAATCAGGTAAGTCAAAAATATTAGAAACTGATCGGCCTAGCTCTTTGATCCATGTTCTTTTGTTAAATAAGCATTTATTATATTGGGTTTTTCAATTTCATGCTAAAATATTTACCGGGTGTATCATTTTTGTTTATGTTTATTACATACTGCGAATTACATGCGTATAATCGTTCTTGGAGTCTCTGCTTTTTTTTTTTTACAATTTTTCTGTTTGCTGTTGTTTAGAATTTTATTTTGTGGATATAACAGATAAAAGTATTGATTTTTCGTTGATCGAGTATTTATCTTTGTTGTTATTAATTCTGAAACTTGAAACCCTTTACTTATTTAGTGAAAGGGAATAAAGGAATATAAATGAAAGATATTCGATCATAAATTGAATAAATTTAGTTAAATTAGGACAAATAGTAATTTGCCTCTGTAATTTCTAGAGAAAGAATGAATCTTTTTATTGTACGTGCTGGCTATTCCGTTATTCATTCATTTGTTAACCTCCAAAACCTTAAGAAAAGAAAACGAAAAAATGGCTTCTTTCTTGCTTTTCTTTTTGTTTCTTGAGTGGAGAAAAACTAGTGGAACAAATGATCAAGATTTCTTAAAGGCGGTGGGTGGTGTCTGGTGCAAGCGGCTAGTATTATATTGACGGAAGCAGTTTCTTGTGGAAGTATCTTAACGACTGTTGCGTGCCAGTATTTGATTCTTAGATTGCTATAGAGATGATGCAATTATTTATTTAATTTCAGTCTGCAACACACTCCCTTACCTGCATGTCATATTTATTTTTTGATCAATGCCTTACATGTGGACATATGTGGTGGCAAGACTTGAACCAGGTCTTTTGCATGATTTGATATCATGTTGAATTACCTCAATTAAAAGCTTAAGTTGTTAGATAGTATACAAATATGTATATATTCAAACTTAGTCTTGTTAATGGTAAAACTATGCTTGACCTTGAATAGGTGTCGGCTTACGAATTGTGTCAGAAAGAAACTGGTTTTATATTTCTCCGAGTGCACAGAAAGCTTGCAATTTGAAAGATGTCTAATGTGGAGGGTAAAAAGATTTCGATGCAGGATATAAAACTGGTAAGCATTTGAGTTCATTAATTTTTATTTAATATATATCTGCTGGTTAACTACTACTGATTTTGTGTAAAAAGAAAAGGTAAACAAAGAAAAAGGTGTGCTGTATTTTTTTTTTTTTTTGAAAGGAAAAAGATTTCATTATAATTTGGCTGAAAGGATTCGAATTTGAATGCTTTTGGATTGAATTTGACCATCACTTTTGAAAGGGTGAAATGCATTTTACGTTAATGGTTTATGCATCAGAGTTCCTTTTATGTACCTACCGACTCTATGTTAGGTAGTTGTAGAATAATCTCTGTCATGAAGTTACCTCGTCTCTGTTTTCCTTTTTTCTAAATATAATTATCTTAACGCAACTCTCATTTATTTCTCGGCCGGAAAATGTGTGTTGTTCAACTGAAATTCATAAATCACAGAGTAACATTTTCTTAAGCATATTTTGCACCTTTTCATTTAAGTTAAACGAGTAATGGAGGCTATGTGATAACATATATTTTTATTCTTTATTAGTGATTTGAATATTAGAGCTTGTTTGTCTCCCATTATTGGGAGAAAATTAGTGTAATGAATAGTTTTTTTTGGAGAATGTGTGGTTGAAAATTAAAATAACTTTATTGGTTTGTGTGTAGAATATTTTATTGGGTGAATGTGTGGTGGAGAATCTTACTGTAGCAAACAATTTTTTGGATTAATGGCAGACAAATAGGGGCTTAATCTAATTTGATTTTCCCTGTTAATTAAAGAGTCTACCAATAAACAGCTGCCATTGATTTTCCCAAAATAATCAAGGACCACTCTCCTTAAAGATATTAAAGATATATCTGAGCTATATTGATTTTCTTGTTCTTTTTCGAGATAAGAAAGATGTGTTTTTCTTTGACATCCAAAGAGGAAAATTGTTTACTAGATAATAACACTCTCCCAGGTGCCTGTAAACGTGATCCATTTGCTAACACCTACATGACACTCTCTTACACCAACTGTCGAATGGATTGTCTTCAATCCTTTCACAAGTCAATATTACTATAAATTTTGGTTTCTGACATCGTTAAACTTTTGTGATAGATAATATTTGATTTCTTTCCATGATAAAATGATGTTTTTTTTTTTTTGGAATGAGTCATTATGAACGAGTCTGAGTGACTATTTTGCTTTCTTATGCATCTTGTTTTACTGAAATACCATACACGATTTCAAGTACTGAATGTTGATGAATAAACTAATATCATTGTATTTGAATGAAAATGAAAAAAAGAAATGTGGAAGTGGTATTCCTCTTGGAATGCTGAGGTGGGTATAATCTGCTGAGAATTAGCAATAAATGTTATTTCTGAAAAGGTGAGTTTATTGCTACCATGATCAGTATAGTGGTTGTTCAAAGATTAAGGGCAGCTATAGATTGCGAAAGCAGTGACTTGATCACATGTAATAGAGTTTGGCAAACAAGCTGAGTTGATGGAGTAGGAAAGCTTAAAAATTCTATTGCATTACTTCATGTAAAATGTATTGCATTGCTGAATTGTAGTGCCGAAATGAAGTAAATTGAGAAGTAATAAGAGAGGATCATTCTTTCCTCAGTTAAACTTTGAGATCAAATCATGCAAGTTCTTATTAGATTTTTGTAATGACAAATAAATATTATCTTACATTTGGTCTGATTTGAACAGATATTTATGTTTTGAGCGGTTTTTATATGTTATTCCTACATTTAAAAATAGTAATGTTGTCTATTTTTTTTTTACAAAATTTACCCTCATTTCAATAAGGAGAATGGAAACGATAAAATAACATCAAATTGGATGTATACGTCGGTTTTCTTATTATTCCTTTGATCTAATATTTCAGGTGGAAAATCGAATAGAACGGTGTCTCCAGCTTTACATGAACAAGAAAGAAGTTGTGAACACTCTCATCAAGCAGGACAGCATAGATCCTCGTTTTACTGATATAGGTAGTTTTGTTATTCGTGTTTTAACTGATATGCATCCTTGACACTTTGGGGATCTATTTAAGTTGAGGATTGAAATTGCAACAACAATCATTTTGTTCTTGAACTTTGAACATTCAGGACTGTAGTGTTCTTCTGCTTTTGATACTTGACTAGTTGCCCATTGTCATTGCTAACTGCATCATTTTCTCGTCTAGCATTTCCTAGAGAGTCAAGTCATTTTTGACTTGCCATTCAAAAGATTCATTGACTTTCCCTTTCTATATGTTTTTTAAATGTATAATACTTGCTTCTAATGATAGTTATTTTCACTGGAAGGTGATTTAGAAGGTTCCATCACTCGTTTATTATGTTGCATTAAGAGCATGTTTCTAAGAAAATATTAAGCCCCATAAAGGAGCGAAGCTTAACATATCTCATCTAAAAGCGTACTTTTCATTTATTTATTTATTATGATGTCTTTGGAATTCTTGTTTCCCCCTTTTCTGAAATAATCATGTCTTTCACGTGGTATTATAATAATGTTGCATTTTCATAGGGCTTTTATTTCTAATTATGTCACCTATAGCTAGTATAATTTGCTACCTGTCTTCCAGTTTGGCGGAGGCTTGAAGAACAAAATCCAGAATTTTTCAGCGCTTACTACCTTAAGTTGTTGGTGAAGGAACAAATCAATGAATTCAACAGGTTGCTCTCGGAACAGGTGGAGCTGATGTGTCGAACGGGATCAATTGGGTTGGCCTCCGTACCCACATCTAATGGATCTCATGTTTCACCAAGTAAGACATCTTTCTAAAATATTTCGAAGTGCTTCAACTGTTTTTCTCTCTCTTAGTCGTAGTGTGGGTAAATTTTGCACATGCCTTGCCTAAAATAGTTTCTTGGTTTACAAAAAAGTCGTAAAGGGATCCATATAGTGTCTAGGTTTCTCTATAGCGTTTCCACCATTTCTTCACAGGAAAATGTTCTGAGAATGCATGGACCCATGTCCAGTCAATATTACTATATCAAAATGACAAATGTCATTTCATGGGGATGCTATACTTAATTCCATGGAAATAAGCAGTGGCCAGGTTTGCAGCACTGGGGGCAAGATAAATACTATAGGTCATTACTTTACACTGAAGGGGTTGAAGGCATACTTATAGGTTCATGTATGTTAATGATAAGTTGTATTCTTGGGACCTGCTATGTCAGTGGGCTCCAAAAAAAAATAAATTCCAGTGGAATGTTGAAAGATAATCGAACTAGTCATCTGTCTTGAAGGTTTGGTGTTATCCTAGCAATGATCCTTCTGAAAGATTTTGTGCCCTTCTCTTAACAGTTTTTTCTTATAGAAAAAATAACTTTTCTATTTGTTTCAGGACACCAAGGGATTCCTTTCAGCCAATTTCGATAAGTTTGCTATTGTAAATATGTTCTGCACATTCATTAATACTTCTATTGCTCTGGACCATCAGATTCAAAGAACATGCATAAAGTATTATAAACCAATCCTCTGACAAGAGGAAACATTGATGTTAAATCAGAGGCATTTCATGGTTAAGATAATTGTTTTTGTCCCATTCCCACCCCAAGGAGAAGAAGTTGTAGTGCTCATTTGAGCACTCTGTACTGTCGTACCCTTTTCTCATCGTGCCTTAGAGGTGGCTACTGGGTTTAGATCTATATTGATGTCAAGTTGTCAACTGTTCTGTTGAGAAATCGGTTGAGGACCTGTCAACTCATATCCACCCATTTTGGCTAATATGACTAGAATATCTAAATCAAAAGATAAATAAAAAATACACAAGCAAGCAACCCTGACCCCTACCCCGACCCCAACTCATCCCCAGCCGGCCCCACACTACCACTACGATTTATTGTCAAATTATAAACAAAATGCAAGAAACAATGAAGCATTAAATCTCATTCATGCCTCATTAAGAAAGCCTCTATTTTAACTGTAAACCTAGTAAAAATGTTGATTAACTGAATATTAATAAGGAAAGAGTCCCTAGCTAATCTTTAACAACCCTTCTCTCAAGAATGGTTGATTCTTCACAGAAGTGGTTGTCTTTGATCTTGTTGGTTGTCTGTGGTAGAGAGTGGTGATTGATGGCAGGAAATGATATATTGTTATGGGAAGAGCTAGTTATCATGCCTAGTGGTGGGACGTGCCGAAGGCTAGGCATGCAGACAATCACAATGAAGGCTGGTTGTGCAGCAAGCTGCAGTCAAAGGCAGACACCCGGGGGCGGTATATGACTTAAATCAACCTAGTGCCTGCCATATCTTGCACTATTGAGACTGAGAACAGTAAAAAGAACAAGATTAGTATTAATGAGAATCTGTGTGGTCTCATGGATGATCCGTCAGAGATGTCTCTTAATAGATGGGACTTACTAGTGTTGATCTAGAGTAACTCACATTTGAAATTGCACAAGGATTGTCTTAGTATTAGAAGAGTTAGATATGTTTAAGTTAAGTTGGTGACACGACTTCCCTAGTTTTGAAATATTAGTAAATTATTGTGGTCTAGGGTGGAGTTCTTTTTACGATGTTAATTTCCCAAAACTTAATCTGGTTACTAAATTACTCAACTTTATGGTGCATATGATAATATCAAATTATTTAGTAAAGTTAAGATATATTATTTGACTAGTATGCACATTTCTGATATTATAAACTAAGAATCCAGTATAAAATATCTGTGACCATAATGGTCCTCCCTCTCTCCTTGCATGTTGTTTTGTGGTATTGGAACTCGTTAAGTGGGTTGCAATATATTCCCTGTTCTACAGAGTTTAACTAGTATGTCTATATGACTACAGAGGATATGCAGCTGCCAAATGCATTCAATAATTGTGGATCATCCATCCAGTCTTGCGTGCAAGAAACTCTTGATATATCTGCTCATAGCAGAAAGACAGGTGTTTTGCCAAACTTGTTCTTGGGTCAGCATTCAAATGTGGAATTGGCACAGGCAATGAATGGGAAGATAGTCAAAACAGAAGCTGGTTATGCTGGTAGTTCACCTTTCTATTTGAGTCCACATAGCAATTTAATGGAATCACGTCCTCTGATGGGTGATGCATCTGTATCATCTTTCACTAGCATCGAGCCGAGTGCACAGCCCCTAAATGACATGCTCTTGGATGGAAATGATTCATCATTTGGATTTTTGGGACAAATTCCGCAAAGTTCTGGTTTCACAGACTTCTCAGCTGATTTCTGCAGTAGTTCTGGTTTTGCTCTCTTTCCTCTCTACATAAAAATACATGCATAGATATATACACATATATACAGCAGGTGTCTGGGTGGAACTTTCATATCAAAGATTGTAATTAGTATTGTTTGACATGTTTTGATTCTCCCGCTTCTATGCCATTTCAGAATTACTGGAGAGTTACTGTAGGCTTCCCATACTACCAACCGATGCCAACAATTTTATGGATCCCCATGGTAGGTGTGATCGCCAGTCAGACCTTTGATTGTTCATTTCTTTTGGAGAATAACTTGTGTTTGCATCTTGGACTTCAGGAGACATGGAGAGGGTGGATTCTGCATCTGAAGGCTTACGATATCAAGATCATGGTTGTGATTGATGGACTAATGCCATTGTACCTTTCTGCACCTATAGATACGAAAAATAAGAAATTTGTGCATTTGCAGTTTTTCTTATCCTATTAGTGGCATTTTTGGTTTGAAAGAATGGCTCATCTTTTCGTTCCTTTCTTCAATAACATAGATGCTGATTATGCTCAGTTTTGTCCTGTTTAGCGTTTTTAGATGTCTTATGGCAAATGCCCCACACTTTTTTCAGATATAAATGTGGTTGGATTGTCAAGAAGGATTGGGTCTAAGTTGTTGTTTGCTTATTCAAAAAGGGAAATATTGATATAGTATTTTTCTAGCCCACTGAATGCTTGGCATTCATTTCTGTAGTGCAACATTGTTGTACTGCATGTCTCATGATAATTATTAGGTCTCTATTCTGCTAGAGCTTGGAATTCTCTCTTCTCCATTAATGGACGTTGGCAAATCAAGTTGTAAAACTGGGCTTAGAAATCATTAAACCTATTGTATAGCGAACATGGTGATTAGTTACCAATTTTTCTTTACAAACTGCTATTTATTATTCTCTGCCAGTTTGTAATCTATTTGATTTTTCGTGTGTGATTGCTGCAGATCCTACTACAGTCTGTCAGTACTGAAGATTTTGTATATTTGGTTTCGTCTACATGGGAAAGAAGTCAGACATCTCAAGGAGACTTATGATTTGGAGTCTGTTTTATCGCATGGTCCTTTCACTATTTGAATGTTTAGTAAGCAGATATTGTACCTTTGTTAGGTTGTCTTGTAACTATGAGTGTGCTACATTAGTGTAATGGTTTCAAAACTGTATTCATAAAGCAGTATCTTTGACACTTTCCCTTTTTTTTCCCTGTAATTATTGAGAATGAAAGACATTTTCAGAAGCTGCCTGTTTATATCTAAAGACATCCAACTGTTCCAGCTTGAGCTTTGTTTGGTTACAAGTAAAATTCTATAAATTTCTTTAGTTCTCAGTCTGAGGAATAGTTCAAGAATTTTTCATTTGTTTACGAATCGTTTGGGAGCATTTTCGTTGCCCCAAAACTCTTGTAGGACAGTTTTGTGTTCAGCATTTTGACCGGAAAGTTGTAAGCTTTTGCCTCCATTTCTGTAAATATTAACTATGTTTTCATTTCAGTTAACGAGTCGTCATTTTGTCAATAATGTTCTTTATTCCGAGAGAGGTTCCATATCAAAAGTAAAAGGTTATTAACCATTTAGATAAAAGCACAGTTGTTCAAAGAGAAATTAACAGGAAAATACTCCACAAGATGCTCGGACCGAATGATTATACTTGAAAATCAAGATATATTGATCGTATAACTAGCGCTATTCATGCTATTATGACCGAGGGTGCACATAAGCAACTCATGAATGCCCTTTTGTAGACAAACTGTTCTATTGAATACTTGATCATTATACTGCAAACTCGATTTCAACAATGCCCTATCCAAAGTAAGAAACATTAATACACAAAACACAATAGCACGACAGGACAAATACAGTAGCCCAACCACTCGAGGGCTAGAATACAACATTAGTAATCTCAGAGACTGATAGTTGCTCATGATATGCTTTCTCAATTGAGATCACAGGGGCATATAATAAAAGCATGAAATGAATACAAAGATTAGTCTGAAACTCAATAATATCCACATTAATGGCTCCATCAAATCGTAAAGAAGTGGTTAAGGACGATATGATTTGAGAAATCAATCGGTTCAAATTGGTATAGGCGAGCCTTTCAACATCTAGAGATCTCCAACAAACATCATAAATTTCTTCATTGTCCAGTAGCACTGCCACATCCGTGTGTTGAAGAAGGGAATGAGTCGAGAGAACACTGTTGTCAGGCTCCACAACAGCAGCTGACACCTGCAATTAATATCAAAAGCATGTCAGAGCCATGTAGAACAATTGAGGGCTATTATACCTACACCCGTATCTGCAAGTCCACACAGGATGTTACTAATCGGAGAGCGTTCAAGTTCAGTTTACCTAAGCATTCAAATTTTCGAAATATATCGATGAAGTAGTGCTCTGCAGCTATGTGTAGAGGAGAATTACAACCATGAATGGTCACTGAAAAACTAGATTTACTGCCATAAAGTCCGTAATTGCGCAAAACATGATATCTTAGGAGGTTGAGGATTGAAGCAACTATTGGAATGTTACTTTAAGCACCTGCGGAGAAGGATGGTGAAAAGCCTAGATTAGACTTTTTGCCATAGTCCACGGACAAACGTTCCAAAAGAAGAGAACCCAATCCAGAACCAGTACCACCACCAACAGCATTGAACACCAAAAATCCACAAGTTTCACCAAAGAAGGTGTTGAAAGCATCATATGCTACACCCACCGAGGTGTCACTGCAAAACGACAAAACATTATGCATGAAAATGAGAACCTGTAAAATTCAAGAGTAACTGTGAGCGAACAAAAAAACCACCAATACAAAATCCCATTTACAAATTAAAGAAGCTGCTTGCTTTTACACTTTTACTTTGATTTTAAAACCATTTTTCTCTTGTTGTTGGGGATTCATAGTCCACCGAGACTGAAGTATGTCACATTTTATTAGGTACTATTTTATAGGATTAATCATCTCTCAAAAGGAAAGTCATATGATCCAGTAATTTTTTTTTTCTTTTCAAAATATGTCAAATTCTCTAGAAAGTCACTAAATAATCCACTAAAGAGAAGATCAACCGCGAAATCTAGATAATTCACGACAAGTCAATCCAAATTCCACGAGAAGTAGAAAAATGGAAATTGAACAGTTCTCTTTGTCGTTTTCCAACCATTTTCTGTTTTTAATTTCTCAAAACAACGAAAACGCGTTCTCTATCTTATTTTCGAAAACGCGTTTTGAAAAATGAAAAAAAAATTATAACTGAAAACGGAAAACAACAAAAACATTGTTTTGTAAAATTTTTGGAAAAACAAGGTAAAATCTGAAAACACGCGAAACGGCCCAAACCCTCGCTCTCACAAATCACGCTGCCCTACCTCTCTCCCTCTCTCACAACTCCCTCACTCAACTCTCTCTGTAAATCG